GCGAAAGGTGCTGTAAACAATTCTCTTTGTTTTGATACTGACTCCATCGTGGTCCTACAGCATGGATGATATATTTGTTCTTCAGCAATCCCGCCTGGGTCGGAACATTTTCTGTAACCCTGGTTGGTCCTTTATTTTTGATGATTTTAGATCTACATTCGTACTCCATGAATGCCCCAGCTTTCTCAGCAATTACTTTAGCCACTCCTCCAATGTGCTTCAACTCTTCATTAGCAGCATTGACAATGGCGTCTGTCTGAAGTTTTATTATTGAATGCTTGTACACATAGACGTCCATCCCTTCTTTTGTTGAGAACATTGGGGATCTTACAAATCCTGGCTGACGTGAAGCATCAGGATGTGGTCTAGACGAACTTGTGGAATGACTATGTTCAGAGGAAGCAACTTTTGAATAATTCCTAGCTTTGCTTTCAGATCCACTTTCCCGTGCTAACTGTTTATCATTTTTCATTTCAATTTCTTTCAGAAATGCCTCTAATTGACTCTTTTCCCTTTCGTTCACATCATAATTTATGCCATAAATATCAACGTAATCAGACCTCAAATGCAAGTATCCATCTGAAATTGTGGAATTTCTCCCTTCAATATACTCTTTTACTTTCTTCCGACCACTCTCTGGCAACAAAAATAAGGATACCAAGTTCCTGTTCTTTTTTAATAAGGAGATACCTTTTTCAACTGTATGCATTACTTCGTATATATAATTACAATTTCTAGTAAATAAACATCTGACTACTAAAAGGTTTTCTGTTACTTCCAATTCAATTTCTCCATCACTTTTTAATTTTCCCAATTCTCTTCCACAAAGGATTTTGACAAATGATATGTCCAATCCAGCAAAGTTCCAACTTGCTTGCTTGTTATGATTTGTTGATAAGTCTGTAGAAGTACTGCTACCAGAGAAACTATGAATTGCTGAAGCAGATCCGGAAGAACCCCGCTGGAAATACACAGATATAGTCAATGTTTATACATGGTATATTTCATTTGGTTCAGAAGGTATTATTAGAATCTACTACTAGGAAATGAAAAATAAATAATCACAAGTAATCACAAACGATCCTACCAATCAGGAGAAGAAAACAATTCACTAAATGTATATATTTCTTATCTGGAGAATAAAACCTTTTCACCATATAACCCATAGATGAAGCTTCTAACACGATATATATAATTAACATTTGACATATGGTAGTTGCATACACTTTTCAACAGGCCAACGGCTTCAACATCATACTAAATTATTGCTGCTGTGAGAGAGAATGTGATACAGATAGATTATCTATCTGATTCCTCTGACTAACAAGCACCAGGGTACAATGGTCCAATGATTCACCAGCGAATCAAAGGAGACTACTGTGTAGCGTAAATGTCTATTTATCTATCAACGGGTTCATCTTCCATTATTACAGCCTTTCCGTCTTTCTGCGGAGGAATGTTCATGTCCCTGATAGCACAATTAAGAAAAAGCATTTCTTCAAAAAGGGATTGAGTACATACATTGAATGGTAGAAATAGAAAATTTCAACAATAGAAATCATACGTTACGACACCAATGAATGATTGTAGAAAGGTCCTCATGATTAATCAAGATTAAATCATAAGCAAATTTTTGACCACACCAAATGTGTAAAACTTCATCATCACATTAATAAAATAGCATTAAGGATACAATGTATAATATTTTATGTAACATATCAAAATGTTAATTCCTTACATTTTATAGCATATAATGAATACATTGTTATCTAGTTATTGCCATGATCTTTTACAAAATACAGGGCAAAGGCGTTTATCCTGACCTAATGAGGCACTTTAATCACTTATTTTAATTATCAAAGGAATACAGATAATGTATATTCCTTATCTTTTTTTTAAACACACCAGATCAATCATTACAACAACACAGTAGTGAATTAATAGGATGGTAAACAAGTTTAGAAGTTATAATAGCTGATTTATCATAAAGTCCGAAAGGGGTAAACTTGAAGTCAACTAGAGACTCAAGGGCCTTAATGGTTACCTGAGTACAGTACAGTTGTTGTTCTTGTAACATCATGGAAACAATTTTGTTAACAAAGTCAGGTGAACTAAAAATATGTACATATTCCACATATCACAAATGTAACCTGTGTAAACTCTGTCGCTGTTTGCAGGCAATGTGAGACACTAAGGTAATGAAATTCGCTATCATTAATGCACCTTTAAACTCTTTCCTCAATGTAGAGTATTTGATTCTACCAAATATGGGAGGAGAAGCTTTTAAAAACCAGAATCAATTTGGCCCTAATTGGCTTCATCCCTCTAGCACTGAGAAGGGGTCATGGTTTTAATTCACAATGATTCTGACTGGCTTTGACTGAAATTGATTCAAATGTGTTCCACAATAAATACAAAATGTCGATTATTTACCACACACAACATACACCACATGACACCTGACAAAAGACAATAACAAAAGATTACCATGAGAAATCACAATGCCAGTGTGTTATCTACATTATCCTTAAGTCTAAACCCTTTTGTATTTGTTTTCTTCATGACACACGATTTGCAACATAAATGGACACTGTAATTTACTGATTTATATGAACAGTATTATCTTCCAACTTCATACCACTTTAAACATGGACATGAAAATTATACAGTATGTAATATTCATTGTTATGGTGTCAATGCCTGTAAAGAGTAGAAATATATTGAATCAAACCCAATCAGTTGTATTCCACTTGATTAAAACATACATGAACGCCTACACTGTATAATATTCTCTCAGCAGATATTGAAATCCATCATCACAATGCACAGTTGTATGTCTTTCCTGATCAAAATTGTATTCTTTTAAGTAAAAAGATCTCATTACATGATAGTATACTGAACATTATATTAGTATGATTAATGTATACTTCAAGATTCATTATCCTAATTTTAATGCAAGCAAAGCTATGCTCATGACGCAAAATTTTAACAAAGGGCACTAACTATGTGCTAGGGGTCACAGGCCCTGACTTTGTTACACTGTACCTTGCTTTTGTATAACTGATGTATACATCACATTTCAATAATTTAGTTCAAATGCAGGCAAAGTAATGCTCTGGACACAAAAGTAGCATAAATAAATGAACATAAATTCAAAGTGAAGCATTTCACTATTCTTCCACTAATTAACATATTTCACCACTTTTATTTTCTAATTACCCGAATTCATTCATTTAAACACAAAAATAACAAAAAATATGTCTGGGTTGGAGAAATTATGGTGGATAGGCGGCTACACTTTATCATGGCCATGGTAAAGACCAGCATTTCACTATTCTTCCACTAATCAACTTTTTCACCATTTTTTTTCTCTAATTACCCCTATTCATTCATTTAAACACACAAACAACAAAAAATATGTCTGGTATGGAAAATTTAGGGTGGAACACGTGGTTTCACTTGACTATGGCCATGAGCATCTCAAACTACATCAATAATGGTTAAAATTGTTAAATTCAGTCCAGTCGAAAATGAAAAAGTCGGAAAATGGTTTTGAAAGTTGAATTGATCAAGAACACATGCATGTATATATACACACTTGTTGATAAACTTCATGATTGAAGACAGAACATTTTTTGTGTATTACCATTATCAACTTAGATTGAGCTCCTCAAATTTCAGTATTCACTGATTTAACTTTACAACTTCTGATATTCATTTTATTTCTCATCAACATGTCTGGTAGAATAAAATTCATCAATTATATTGATTTAAGGATAGATAGCCCCAAATGATATATCTCTATTCCTAATTTTACCTCTCCCAATCTGCTGAATCTTTCTTTTGCATCATCTTACAAATTGTATTCAAACCATTCAAAGGGATACATATATAGGTATAAGTTCATGTTTTAGAAACAGTTCCTTCCAAGTGATATATTTAGTTTTTAAAGATAACGACCTGAAAAAACAATGCTTTATAACACATTTGCATACATATGTTTATTAAAAAAACTGTCTAAAAATGCCTTGCTGACCTGCACCTATATATGAATCCTTTTTACAAAGTCATGTAATCCTAGGCCATATTCTGTGTAATTGCTAGTGCCATAGGTAAGTTTAGTGTTGTTTAACATAATACTAGAAAATATGTGGACCAATTAGCATAAAACTTTCATAGAAAACACTTTTTTGAGGCAAACAAAATCTAAGCACAACATGTCAAGGACCATAGGTTGACATTTAAAGTTATCCTTGGCTCATATGTACTGTTTTATAATATTTTATTGGCAACCACATAATACTAGTTAAGTTTTCTTTTTTTTGAATGTCACATTCATGCTCACATTTTGGCATAGAATCCGTAATTTTGAGGACAAATCTGAGCAGAGACATATTCCCCACATAATGTCCAAGCTTTAGAATGTGGTGGTGGGATCGTTTTGTCAATCTGAATGGATGACATTAACAATGCTTGCTTTACAGACTGTTCCTTAATTATTCTCAAATCAGTGTTCACGGAAGTGTTCCTCTGCTTATTAATAGGTAATTAATAGGTAATTAACAGGGTAACCAAAAGTAAAATAATGTACCACCCTAAAGTAAATGTTAGATGTTGGTATAAAAATAAAAAATGTGTGTGATTATTTGGATAACGAATGGTGTCACCAGTTTGTGGTCTTCAGACCATGCAAGTAACAGGTTAGCTTGTTAATCATATACATTATATACAAATAATACATTTTGATAAATAAGTACATGTATTGCAGACTCTCCGAACATTTCAAGAAATTCAATAACACTTTAATGATTACATGTACATTGTACCTGGTATGTTGACATCTGAAAGATAACAAACTGATCTTAGGTCTATCATATTTCTCCAAATAAGTCACTTAAAGTGAGACCTGAATTTCTTGATCAGGTGACAACAAACATGAGTTAAATTGGGTATTTTACAAGTAATGAATTTATTAATGAAATTTAACTTACTGCAGAATACGCTGGATAACTGTCATAATCAGGTTTCTCTGAAAGTAAAAATTAATGCCACTTATGTTTCCTACAAATCCATGTGCATTATATTGCAGTTTCAGACATTATGCTATGAAGTTGTAGGCTATGATATTCCTTCAATTTCTGAGACTACAAATGTATGTGTCTGGCCCTTAATATAGCAGAATGATTATGATATACCATTGTTAAGTGGTAACATATGTCATTGGTTTTACCAATGTTTTTTCAGTGTGAAAATCTAACACTTGAAATCCACTTGAAGATTTCCACTACTTTTTAAACAAAATTTCAGTGGATTTCCAATATTGTTTTCCATTAACTTGATTCTGCTGGTGCCTCCAAATTTTTTAAACTGATCTAAAGTAGCAAGAAATTAATGATATTTGTAACTAAAAGGCTTTGTCAGGTATCCATAGATTCATATATAAACATGTAGCTCATTACCAGTTAATGAATTACTGACTTATAATCCACAGAGAGTTGTTCAGTTACATAACAAACCATCTTGTTTTGAGGATACCACGCAATTCAGGTCAACATAATGATGAGCTCTACTGCAATATTACTGTAAAATTTCCTTTTAAAACATGCAAAAACAAAGAATATTACCTCATTCATTTCATTGATACGCTCGTTAATATAATTGAATCATCTTAAATGTCACAATTATCCCGAAATCTGTTTTATCCTTGATTCAAATGCATACTCCAATACTCTTTAAACCAAACTAAACCAAATCTCAAACTTTTGAATTAACCTTGACCGTTATTACTTGTGTGTGCTGAAAGATTCATACCAGTTGAAGGTTAGGGACCACTAATAAACCTTCAGGTTTTTTCTTGACAGTTTTTTTATTATCAAAACTGTTCCACTAACAATTTACAAGAATTTACAAGCAGTTCTGTGAATACTAAGAAGCAGTCGTTTTTGTTTAACTGTTAGGGAATGCTTTAAAAAAGCTAGTGACAGATGGGAAAGCTTTGGATATCTAAGCCATGTCCTATCACATTAAATATATAAACTTCAAAATTATATCTCAAACATTTCATATATTCTAGTGGCCTCCCCTTTTCCATTATTGTGTGAATACTTCTGTTTCTAAACACACTGATAGTAGATCCATGCAGTGTAGTAAAGGAAATAATCATAGATAAATTACCTCATTATGGAAGATTTTCAAATTGTTCCTTAGACTGAATGATCTCATATAGATGCATATAACAGCTATAGCACAAAACCTATATATGAGCAGCATCTAAAGAATCATAGTACCAGGCATATTTAACAATTATTCTGAGAGTTATATGACTATAAAATGAAATCATGGCCAGGAAATAATATTGCTTATTTTTAAAATCATGGATATCATTAAATTAAGTACCAATTGTTATTGAATTTAGTAACATTTCAATTGCTTTTCATGTGCTCTTCATGGTTCATACATCATGGTTTTTTCATAACTTTCGCATAGGAATATTCTTTCAGAGGGCTTCATTATATGTTATTATACATCATTTCTGTACAGCATATTTTATTGGTTTTAGCTGATGATATCATAGTAATGTGCCATAGCTATAGAGTATTGTATCTTCGGCTCACGATTGAGTCTCTCCCATCTTGTGGCTCCTGTTTAACTTGAGCCCTCCTTCGAAGTTGGGAGAAGTTATCAGTTTTTGCAAATTATAAATCTCCATAAAAATGGCAAACGTGTATACATTTTACAATTTAAAAGGAAGAAACTGAAATTGAGGCAGATTTGAGAACTAATGGAAGCACTCAATATCTAGAAAACAGCAATTATGTATTAGTGAATTCTTTCAGAGAATTTCTGTAAGAAACTAGCTAGAAAGCTAAACTTTAGTTTGTGCAATACTAACACATAACCTGTCAGGGTGAACCTCCATCATCAATTTGTATTAACCGTGTTAATGTTGTTTTATCATTTATCAAACAATACTATATGTTATTTCATTGACTAAAAAGGTGTATTGAATTTATATCAAACAATCTATGACACCATTACAAGTTGCAGAAGATTATAAATGGTCTTTCCACTACCTGCAGAGACCTAGTTCTTTGACCTGTGGCCAATGACACTTCAATGAGTTCTACAGTATCATGAAGAACAACTACTTGAAGTATCATTAAAATCAATTCTTATTTCTATTCTAAATCATTCTTGCAGACAAGACAGCTTTAAACACAGTATACATGATGTACATTCAACGGTATTGGTCTTCACATTCCAATGATCTTAACACTTAATTGAGACATTGAACCTGTTATAAGAATCTCCTAGACAGGTTTCCAAGATTGTTGCAGACAAGATTGTTAATTATGCATTACATTGTACATTTTTTGACAATACATCTGACCTTTGCTCTGTGATCATAACATTGGATATTGGGCCACAATGAAAAAACAATAGGGTTGTGTAGGTCCATAGACCCAACATGCCCAGCGAAAATGGTGATCGCCGATGCTGTCGTTCTTGAGATAATGAGTGGAATGCAAATTCAAGATGGCGCCTGTAACCGCCATATTGGATATCGGGCGGCAACGAAAAACAATAGGGTTGTATAGGTCAATAAGCCCAACATCCTCAGTAAAAATGGTGACCACCTGTGTTGTCGTTCTTGAGATAATGAGCGGAATGCAAATTCAAGATGGCGCCCGTAACCGCCATATTGGATATCGCGTGATGACGAAAAACAATAGGGTTGTGAAGGTCCATAGGTCCAACATCTCCAGTGAAAATGGTGATGACCGGTGATGTAGTTTTTGAGGTTATAAGCGGAATGCTATTGTGGACGGACGGATGGACGCTGTGCGTGATCGTAATACCCCACACCCTTTCGGGCTGTGGGGTAAAAACAGATCAAGAATTTGGGGTACAAATTGATAATTGTAATCTAAAATGTCATAAAAATTGACTAAGCATTTTTTCTAGAATGTAGGTAATTAGAGTTAAATACATTAAGGCATTGTAACATTGACCTTTGTCCTGTGACTTTGATACTTAAATGACTAAGATCAAGAAAAAATGATTATTTTTTTCAAATTTTCCCCCCAAGTTGTAATACATACATCATGTACCAGAAAAAATAATGTGTAATTTTTTTCATTTCTTCTAAAAATATGTAATGCAGACAATGTGTACTAGAATGAATGCACAATTACATAAACACCTTCTCTAAGGGGCAGGGCAATGAGACAAATATCCCTGACAATTCATTGTAAAGTAATAAATTTAGCTTATATATCTTCTTAAAAGTTAAACACACATACCTGTTGTATCCATATATTCTTCCTTTCTATCCATTTCTTGTGTCTGTCATTAAAAAAAATATTTCTATGTGATATGTTTAACATTTTAACTGTAAAAAAGTATTAAGTAATCATATAGGTACAATGAATAATTATACTTTTCCAACGACAATTTCATATGTATATTTAAATTTTGTATATGTTGAATTTTACGAAGTTATAAAGTCAAATGAAGAGCTAGAATAGACTGAGTTGAGACAACTCAGGACTGTGGAATTACTAAATAGAACATAGTTCTTGTATGCACACATGAGGTCAAAACAAAAATGTTGAAATTTATCACTTTTTGTGAACAAAGTCAGTAAGCCCCCATTGTAATGTTCTTCAACTAAATGCTGATACCTCAGAAGAAAAAAATAAGACGCTATTATTCAAATAAAATCTAAAACTCACAACAGGAAAATGGCTATCCAACAAAGGTTAGAAATATCATATACCCTTGCTCTACATGATTTTGTTTCATACTGGTGAAATGTATACTACTGTCCTACCAAATATTAAGGCTGAATTAAAACTTTAGCTCATTATGTGCATCATCATACAAGCAACCAAAAGCTATTGTCAGAGTTCTGTGAGGAGATTCAATTCCTACTAGAGGCATTGAAAAGCATAGAAACCTCTGGATTATATCAGATTAATATTTCATTTACATCATAATATCTAATTACAAACATTAAGGTATCCAACTACTTCACTAATGATTTAACAACATTAAGAACTTTCTAACTGTTTTTACCTCGTGTCTTTTTTAATGAGGTGGATTTTTCTAATGAAATCAGCAAATTTATATTGTCATTGTTCAACAAGGCTTTTGAACTCTATGATGAAGCTTTTAAATGTCTTTAAGAAAGTTTTAAGATATACAGGGACAGTTGCTTCATTTAAGAATTTGTTTGTTCTTCCAGTATTTTTTTTTTTCTAATTTTTCTATACAGAAAAATAAATGCTATAAAAGAAATTGAGAGGCTTGATTTACTAAGTATATTTTCTTGTGCATTTGATTGATGTTCAAACTTAGTGCAGCAGAGAGTGAGTGTATACTGTGTACTAATGTACACTCAAGTTCTATGAAATTTTTTGTAGTACTCATTGATAAATTTTTACTTTACCTTAAAGCTGAATTGATTTTTTACCTTAAAAATGTGAATGTTGAAAAAGAGAAGATCTGAAACTATTACACAAGTGGAAACCTTTAGGTTAAATACCAGTATCATAAACAAGAAAATCAAAACGTTTTTTTAACTGTGACAGTAGTAATGAAAGATATATACCTCTTGTTACTCCGATCTTACTTCTTCCAGATTGTTATCACATTTTTTCAGTTGGCAAATTTGTATCTGAAAATATAAATTAGTTGATCATGGTAAGGTGATGTTTGCCTGTCAATGACTTCAGAAGACTTAATTAGTATAGTTAAGACATCAGCTTACACCCAAATTGATATTGAATATGAATTAAGAGTATAGGTCACTTATAAATAACTAACAACAGCTAGTGAGAATCTTACTTATATCAGGCAATAAGGTACCTGGCTAGGGACCGAGAGGTGGAGAGCTTGAACAACAGATGAGGGCAGGTATGGAGTAATTGTGATCATAATCGAATGTAATAAATTACATCTTTTGAAGAAATTGACAGTACTTAGTCATTGAAAACTTTTCCAATTACTTACAATTATCTTAATTGACAACACTGAAAATTGACTATGTATTAGTAATTATGTTTTGTTTAACATTCAATAACATTATATATTTTTCCTGTACAATGGTAATATGTGTAGTATAATACTCTCTGATGGTAAAGTCAGTAGTCAGCACTATATATAAGGAGATTTGATGTTGTCTGAAGATATAGGCTGTTCTTATGGTATAATACCTGCCTGTACAGGTTTTATCCTGGATGCCCAAGGGTATGCACATTCAGGTATATATATACTGGACAAAATAAGTTAAGGATCATAAATTGTGACCATAATATCTTTAAAAATTCAAATCATGTATTGCCGGTAATTGCACTCGTAGTTTCTCCAATATGTACCTAAAGTCATGTCAAAGGTGAAAGCACGTGCATCTGAAGGTCTTGCCGTTCCGCTCTAGTTAACTATGGTGGTGTGAAAAACTGACTGGTCTATTACTACAGAGGAATCTTGCAGGTTTTGATTCTGTTACTTCTAAGCTAAAAAAAGTTGAATTTGGAAACATTTAATCAATTTGTAACGAAAACTTGAAAAACTAATCATGCGAAGACATTTAAATGATATGGAAGCCGCGCGAGCTATAGGGCTCCTTCAAGCTGGTCAAACTCAACGAAATGTGGCGGCACAGCTTCATGTTTCTCAGAGCGTGATTAGTAGGCTATGGAATCGCTATCAACAGACAAATAACGTCCGTCAACGCCCCAGATCTGGACGACCACGCTGTACGACAGCCCGACAGGACAGATTCATTTGCATCACGGCACGACGTCAGCGGTTTTTGAGTGCTCCTGTCTTGAATCTTCAGTTTCAGCGTGCTACAAATCTAAGGATTTCATCCCAGACAATCAGAAACAGACTCCATGCCTCTAATTTACGAGCTAGAAGACCAGCAGTCCGACCAATTTTATCCAGAGGTCATCGACAATCCAGACATCAATGGGCCACTCATCATTTGAATTGGCAATTACGTCATTGGAGAAATGTTATGTTCACAGATGAGTCTAGGTTTTGTGTTGACTTCCATGACGGTAGGAGGAGGGTATGGAGAACCCAAGGAGAGCGCTATGCAGACTGCTGTGTTGTCCAGCATGATCGCTTTGGTGGTGGGTCAGTGATGGTTTGGGCAGGGATCAGTGTTGACTTCCATACAGACCTCTACATCATAGACAATGGATCTTTAATAGCTGTTCGATACAGGGACGAGATTCTACACCCTATAGTAAGGCCCATTGCAGGAGTTGTTGGCCATGATTTTATTCTGATGGATGATAATGCTCGTCCTCACCGTGCTCGTGTGGTCAACGACTATCTTCAACGTGAAGCAATCGTTCGCATGGACTGGCCAAGTCGTTCTCCTGATCTGAACCCTATCGAGCATGCTTGGGACACCTTGCAACGCCGGGTTTCAGCTCGACCTAATCCGCCACAGAACCGCCAACAGCTTATGATTGCTCTGCAAGAGGAATGGCAGCGCATCCCACAGATCAGCCACCGACGACTAATAAGGAGCATGTGCAGACGTTGCAGGGCAGTTATTGATGTCAACGGAGGTCATACTGCCTATTAAACTGCCAATTGCAGTTTGATGAGTTTTCCTTGTCTACATGATTAACTTGCTCTACTTCCTCTTACACTTTGATTTCAAGGGTGCTGTTACTCAGGGTTATCTGCTCTTGGTAGCAATTACCACAAATGAATTTGTTTTGTGTAATTAAAGACTAAAATGAATGTTCTGTCTATAAATTTAAAATATAATCATATTATTATTTGTATGTAAAACTGCACTGTTTCAAGTTTATGATCCTTAACTTATTTTGTTCAGTATATTTGTTACCCACACGTTTCCTTTGTGAGAGGTGTGAATTATGCAGTAAGCCAAAATTAACCAATTAATAACCAATAGCATTTTGGACTATATCAATGAACAAAAATGGATAACTAAATAAACTGAATAGAAAAAAAAAAAAAATTCTAAATGAAAATTGATTAAGTGCGCTCAGTTTAAGAAATTGTGTTTGACAATCATACATGATTTATGTACAATGTTGTGTAATATCTGTAACAGGAAAGGAGTAGTGTTCCTCTGCCAAGGACCAAACCTGTAAACCCATCCTTACTGTCTAAGTGAGATACATGTATACATTTTGCTTATATCACAATTAATGTATGTATATATACATGCATGATTTTGTATGCATTTTGTACATTGTTAGTTTTAATTGAAATTAATGACATATGATCCATGCTTGCTTGTGCTTCTGTTATTTGGGACCATTATACCAGGAAAAGTATATAGACTGTCTAGAAGTGATATAGCAACTTGTTGTCTGCTTTGTGTGCAATATCACTACAGTAGATACAGTATCAAGAGGATCTTCAATAGCAACTGCTTTCCAAATACAAACAAAACAATCACTTCGTATATGAATTTCTTTATAAAACTAATTAATAGCTTAGTGGCCATGTCAGCTGACTCTCTATTCAAATTTAATACCAGATTATCTAAAGTGCTGGATTAGTTGTAACACCCACATGCACATATCTAAAAACTCATTGCAGCTACATGTATCATAAAAGATAAAAGATTGTAAAACTATGAAACAATTTAAAGCCACCAGTGAGGCCATAAGTGACTAAGATTATTCTAGCTCACTCACCAACCCTGGATAAACTTTGTAGTTGTGAGCTACATTTTACGTACATATATAATTTCCATAAACAATAGAGATGCAGTACATATCTATATATAGATGCACACATAATACATGCTGGGACAACATGCCCTTTCTCCTCTTGACAATGCAACAGTGAATTAGAAAATGGGTGTCATTGTGACTTTTGTGACATCACATTGGTCGGAAACACATGTAGTTATAAACATGTGTCCTTACCCCATTAGTTTCGAACCCCTTAAGAATGGTATCTCACTAGCTACATGTATGTACTAAATGAATTGCAACCTAAAAAATACATAAATGAAATGTGTTCATACTATAAGATTTATGAAAAAAACTGACTGTTGAAACACCAGTATTTCTTAAAACTATAAAGATACGACCTCAAATCCGCTCAACTGAAATGACCGACATCTGTACCGGACAAGTGACTGCACTTCTGTATCTGATGATATCACTAAATCTAGATGCTTGAATTAGCTTACATTGTTCAAGAAGTACACATATTACATAAAATCACAATTTTACCAAAAATGACATTTTGATAATAAAAAAAAAAAACAGATTCTGTTAAAACGTTATAACACAAACTATTTAAATAAAGTTGATTTTCATTTGTCAGTCTAAAACTCTATAGATAATTCAAATAAGAAATAAGTCATCAAACATGATAATTCAAAAATCCTCATTTTCACAAAATAAAGAGATAATGTTTGGAATTCTGTAGCCGAAAAATTGCGAGAGGGTGTAGCCAATTATCATGGTGGATTTTTATTCACTTAACAGACAACAAGAAAACACTGGCAACCGAGTCTGAGATTATTTTTGACATGTTAAGATGAAGAATTATGACTAAATCCATAAATATGTCAATTCCAACGCACGTCAATAGTTCACAAGATACACCCCAACAAAATAGCAGCTCCGAAATACGTAACGGTCTGAAACTGATGTCGAGACGATACAATATACTGTATGCCCCAGTATACTAGATTTTCAGTACATGAACAACCTACATTCCTGTGCATCGGACTAATAGTAAATACACACGTCTGGACATGTACAACAACCTGCTTCACAAGAAAGGATAAATTTCATCAAAGTGAAAGTAAACACTTATGTCAGAAATAAACATGTATTCTTATCCAAATTATGATATAAAATATACATCTTATAGATCACATGCTATACCGTTTCAAACACATTTCATTTTGAGAAATATCTACAGCATATAATTCGTAAAAAAACACTTACATGCTCCTTTGAATATCCTGTTTCCGCTGATTTAGTCTAAACCGAAACCGTTATGTCGGGAATTCCCTGTGCACATAAACGAAAAACTAATTTATTCCGGATTTTTTAATATGAGAATATTTTTTATATATTTTTTAATATATTTTTTACTTACATATATCAATACTTTAAGGTAATATTGATGTTATCTTACCTAGATAATTGTCCTGAACTGGAACTTAACTTATCCTATCTTATCTTATAATTTTACTATCATTATATTTATATTCGGTAGTGTCGCACACTGAATTAGAAAAGAGAGTTCCGAATACGAGTGACCGCGGGAAAAATTGGGCCCCCATCTTCCATCATGGATCAGACACGATACGAAGAGGACAACTGTAAAAATTGTGTTCTAGACTCACCTGTGCCTGATTGTGCCAAGTCAGAGCCATGTTGGCTAGGAATAGACGAAGCTGGCAGAGGACCAGTCCTTGGTAAATAATCAGATCGGGCAGATATATATTTGGCTTTAATTTGTAATCGCATGTTTTGGTAAATTTCATAACAATATTTCAATGAATTTGCAGTTGTTCTGTTGATATGATTTGTTTCTATGGTTGCTGGTACCGTTTATTTACTTTTCAATGTCTTGTGGATTGAGAGATCGACAACTGTACAGCTTAATACAGGTATAGAGTAAAGTTTGCATCGACCATAAAATGGAAGGGAGATAACTCTATCTAAATGTAATATAATGTACAAGGATATTTTTTGTGTAGGCTGAAATAGCCCAGTCGTATTTATGTAAACTGCTGTTCTTCGAAATAATAAAGAAATGCTATGATTTATTGTCGTTTAATAAGCCAAACCTTTGATGTAATTACTTCTTAATTATTAATTATCATTAATTATTTCTTAAAACACTTCCAATTAAAGTGTTAATTATACATGTTAACTTGGATCAACTGAAAACATTTGCCTTTAGTTTAGTTTCCTATGATAATTGTCAGAAACATATTGTTCTCTTTCTCAGGCCCAATGGTGTATGGAATTTGCTATAGCCCAATCTCTATGAAAGAAAAGTTTGGAGAAATGGGTTTTGCAGGTTTGGACTTTTCAAATTCTCATGAATATTGTATATGCAACTTTCATGAAAAATCAATTGTCTGATTACTTGTTTCATAAAAAAAAAAAAATAAAAATAACTTAGAAAAGTATTGAAAGTTTTTTTTCATCCTTACCTATAGTATACAATGCAATGTCACATGTGAATGTGGAGTCTATTTAATTGAGAACATATTTTTAACACTAATTAACACTTGGGCATGTACATATTTTTTGAGATTAAAGATTTAACTTGATCAACATCAGTTTGATAAAATGAAAGAAATGAAGTTAGTTGCCTATTTCATTTTACAGATTCAAAGACACTGACAGAGGAACAAAGGGAGAATATATTTGAGCGAATGGACAAAGAAACAGACACTTTATTGGGTTGGGTAGTGGAAATTCTATCTCCCACATATATATCTAACAGTATGCTGAGCAGGTATGTTTGATATGAGTGACTGACCTTGAACTTGTCAACTGATCAGGAATAACTGAAAAAAAAAGAAATATTATCTGGTGATTGGATCATCTGGCAAGTTTCATGAATGGTGTTGTGTGAGAGTCAATTGATATTATTTGATCAACTATTATTGATTATAATGAAAATGCATCGGAAACATAACACCTAGAAATAGGAGATGAAAAATCTATAACCAGCCAACCAACCAACCAAAAGAAATTTTCTTGAAACATTTACTTTTGGTTGGTAATGTACTTAATGAAGAGCCATAAGATTATAGTGATGTCAAATTGATGATTCTTTTTTATGTCTGTTAGGTGGTAACAATGTACTTTCCCAGGAAAATTGATTGCTACATTTTGTTGAAAACCTGGTCATAAATGTGCAAGAGTCTATTGATCCCTTCATCCCTGTTAGTACCAGCCTGCTGTAGTCTGTAGTGTATCAAGATAACTTTCTTGTCCTACTGTTTGAAAAGTTGGTATGTTCCCCGAAAATTTTGGGGGTGAACATTTAGTTGCTGCCATGTCCGTCCATCTCTCCATCTGTCGATCTGTGCATCCTTTTGTGTCAAAGTATAACTTTGTCCGCAGTTAAACAAGGATCATGAAATTTGGTGTATATGTTCATTGGTCATACTAAGGCATTGTGTAGTGTACCCATTTCAAGGCCTTCAATCCCTCAGTTACAGAATTACTACCCTTTGTTAAAATTCCTGTCTGGAGCATAACTTTGCTTGCATTTAAGTGAGGATAATGAAACTTGAAGTATACATTGATCTTGCTTAGATGATGTACATTATACCAAAGTCAGGGCCCACAATCACTTAATTAGTGATTTATTGCTATTTGTAAAAATTTTGTGTCAAGAATACTTTCATTTGAACAAGGATAATGAAACTTTGTGGATACATTTATCGTACTGAGACAATTTGTAGTGCATCAAATTCATAGCCCTTGATTCTTCAATTATAGTTATTACCCTATGTTCAAAGTTTCTCTTCCATAGTTTAACTATGGTGTATACATTCATCATACAACGAGAATGTGCAGGGTACAAATGTTAGGGTCCTCACCCTCATAACTACAGAGTTATTGCCCTTCTTAGGATAATTGAACTTGGTGTATACATTGGTCATACTATTAGATATGCAGTATGCAAAATTCAGGGCCTGCAACCCCTTAATTACAGAATTATTGATCTTTGTTAAATTTTTTTTCTGATAAAGCCTTCAAGGGAACATTACTAATTTCACTTATACTCTGGTTTTCCTTGTATTAGCTTTTTATGAATTGTCCACGTCAGTATGATTTTGCAGTTTGACATGACAGAGTATTGAGTAGGCGGTTAACCGTTCTAAAACCAGAATATTGTCGTAGATGTTAAATTTTTAAAAATTATTTTATTCTTCCAGAACGAAATACAACTTGAATGCTCTTTCTCATGATTGTGCAATCCGACTGATACAGAATGCTCTTGACAAAGGCGTGCAGGTCACAGAGGTGAATGAAACAGAACTGAGCAATTTCCTTCAAAAATAATATGACCATATTGTTTCATCTTGTACATGAATTCACTGTTTTGATATAAAGCATTCTGATAAATACATAGAGCATTATGTACATGTCAATTTCATTTATGAAGTCGCTTTGTTGAATTGTTTTGGAATTTTCCTTGTTTGGAATGAATAAATATAAAAAATGGTAAAAGAAAACATTGAAATAAAAGAAACTTAATAATCTAACTATTTTATAAGAAATAAATGCCAATGGAGGATAGAATTTGTTGTATCTGGTTAAATTATGTTTGATGTGTTTTACAGGTATATGTGGATACAGTTGGTGATCCAATGAAATATCAGACAAAGCTGAAACAGCTGTTCCCAGAAATAGACATAACGGTAGCCAAAAAGGCTGATGCTCTCTACCCTATAGTCGGAGCTGCAAGTATATGTGCAAAGGTAAAGTCAGTTCTGTAGTTTGTTAAAAAAAACTGGAGATACAAATGTTAAGGCCCAAACAATGTATGTTTTTCTGTCTTTGTTTCTTTTTTCCGTACTGGTAACCACCATAATAATTTTTTTTTTTTCAAACTTGAAACCTTGCAGTTTTAGTAACAGATTAGTAACAATGATATATCATCAGATGGGGTGGAAACATGGATACATTCAATAAGCGTGCAGCTCAAATAAAAATTATGGAAGTATCCGCAACAAAGATGAAATATAACTGTCTGTTCTGAAAGAAAAGAAAAAACTCAATGAATTTGTATTTTTTAACAGTTTTAGGTCATCTGATCCAAAGTGAAAGTGAAAACAACATTTCAATTTTTAACATGAAACCTTATATCTTAATGTGAAAAATAACAAATGAAGCTATGGTCTATCCACAGGTAGCCAGAGACAAAGCAGTGAAGAACTGGGTATTCTCTGAGGGTATCAGGATGCCAGAGGATACTAGTTATGGATCTGGTTATCCTGGAGGTCAGTGTGAAATACATCAGTTTGTCTGTCACTGGTATAACTGGTTAAATTGGTTATCAATCGGGATGTCAGTTCAATAGAAATTGCTATCTTGAATACTTGTCTGATTCAGTGTTTGAGTATTTAAATATTTCATTGATATGTCAAATCTAATTTGGTAGGCTGCTTTAAGAAGGCAGTCATCAAACAGTACTGTACTAATAACATTATACCAACTAGGAACAGAATTGTTTATGTACCTTAAATTATTTGGTTTGTAGGTCATTTGAGACATGCAGGGTGACCTAGCCTATTGTGATCCCCTTTTATCCGACGTCATGCGTCGTAAACTTTTAACACTTTTGACTTCTTCTGAAAAACTCTTGAACTGATTTCAAATCTGGAGTGTAATAGCACGGAACAGTTGTTAATGTATACACAACTTACATTTGAATTATATGAACAATATCATAAGTTATATTACTTTTTTAAACAAAACCATTTCTGTGACATGTTACAAGAAGCATTGTGACTCAGGTGATCGTTAAGGCCCCTGGGTCTCTTGTTCCTGATATGATGGAAAGCAAAACCTAACCAGTTTACTGAAAATTTATTTGTTATAAACATGATTGTTTTGGTTGTAAATATGCAAATACCAGGTAATAACTAGAAAACATGTCACTACTTGGGTATGATATGGAGACACCAATGTATATATCCTTGTATCAAAATTCATCAATAAGAATTGTTATTAAAACATATAAATGACATTCTTAATAGAATAATTGTCATAGTACTTCATAACATCACATTTTTTCACAATTGACATATATGTATATTCAAAAATAATTCTTAATCCACATCCTCTGGTGGCCTTTGCTACATGTGTAAACCCATATAACAACCTTAGATATAAGTAATACGAACAAATCTGATATTGCAATGATTGATCATAGAACACTTGTCCATATTAAAATTGACCAGGCATTGGCTTCGTTCTTCATTGTTTCACACAACAAGGTGCAAAACTTCCTGGAGGATAAGGATGACCTCAAGTCCTCCAGCAATAGACTAATTAGTGTCATGATGAATTATGCTGGTGTAAAACTCTAAACTCTAAACTCTAATAAGACAGTAACTTTGTTTACGCTTATAAACATTCTTTTCAGAAAACAAGTGAACAATTCGTCAACAGAAAACAGATGAAATTTTGCAATTCATACTTCCAAATGTTTTTTTTTTTTTCTAACAATTCTGAAAACAGATATTCAGATATCCGTATCTTTCTGTTGCTGTTCAGCAGTACCTTTTATGATACACTGACTTGTCTTCATTAGTATGACCATGTAAGTCTTGCCATCAATAGCTTTTATTTACCACATCCCTCTTTATTTTATACAGATCTCTTTGAAAGTTGATAAGCTTTGAAAGGTTTTCTTGAGAGATGTTCAGTTGGATAATTTTGGGAAGAGTTATTGCCCCTTTGACTTTACAGTATTTTATTTCTTACCAAGAGATCACCAAGAGATGAAAATGACACACACACAAAAGTATCTTTACATTATTTAAAAACAATATCATTATAAAAACAGCCACTGCTCTTTATACTGTGGTATGCTCATTTCAGCATTATACAGTTCATGCAAAATTCTGACATGTTTCTGTAAATTTTGTTATTTTTAAGTGTTTTCATTTTGTATTTTTTAAGGATGGATGAAGATCCTGAAAAATAGAATCCTAGAGTATAAAATCAATAAAGGAAACATGAGTCCATTTGATGATTTCTGTGGAAAATCCCACCCCTTTTACATGAAGATGTGGTAAAACGATAAAAATTCATAACACAAAGCAACATTTTGCTTTTTTCATTTTAAAATTACATATTTTATTTCTTCAGACAATGATATACATTACACTTTATCTGATTAATTTGTCTACAGATCCAAACACCAAGAGATTTATGAATGAACAGCTAGATAAAGTGTTTGGATATCCTCAGTTGGTCCGATTCAGTTGGTCAACGGCCTCACAGATTATAGAAAAACAGGGATACCCTGTGGCTTGGTAAGTTTATTTACATACTTAAATGGATATCCTGTGGCTTGTTAAGTTAGTTATAGACACACAGGGATACCCTGTGGCTTGTTAAGTTAATTATAGACATGTATTTACAGAGATATTCCTTGGCTTGTTAAGTTAATTATACACATGTATTTACAGAGATATCCCTTGGCTTGTTAAGTTAATTGTAGACACGTATTTACAGAGATATCCCTTGGCATTTTAAGTTAATTGTAGACATGTATTTACAGAGATATCCCTTGGCTTGTTAAGTTAATTATAGACATGTATTTACAGAGATATCCCTTGGCTTGTTAAGTTAATTATAGACATGTATTTACAGAGATATCCCTTGGCTTGTTAAGTTAATTATAGACATGTATTTACAGAGATATCCCTGGACTTGTTAAGTTAATTATACTCATGCATTTACAGAGATATCCCTAGACTTGTTAAGTTAATTATACACATGTATTTACAGAGATATCCCTTGGCTTGTTAAGTTAATTATAGACATGTATTTACAGAGATATCCCTTGGCTTGTTAAGTTAATTATAGACATGTATTTACAGAGATATCCCTTGGCTTGTTAAGTTAATTATAGACATGTATTTACAGAGATATCCCTTGGCATTTTAAGTTAATTATACACATGTATTTACAGAGATATCCCTTGGCTTGTTAAGCTAATTATACACACGTATTTACAGAGATATCCTTTGGCTTGTTAAGTTAATTATACACACGTATTTACAGAGATATCCTTTGGCTTGTTAAGTTAATTAAACACACGTATTTACAGAGATATCCTTTGGCTTGTTAAGTTTATTATACACACGTATTTACAGAGATATCCTTTGGCTTGTTAAGTTAATTATAGACATGTATTTACAGAGATATCCCTTGGCTTGTTAAGTTAATTATAGACATGTATTTACAGAGATATCCCTTGGCTTGTTAAGTTAATTATAGACATGTATTTACAGAGATATCCCTTGGCTTGTTAAGTTAATTATACACATGTATTTACAGAGATATCCCTTGGCTTGTTAAGTTAATTATACACATGTATTTACAGAGATATTCCTTGGCTTGTTAAGTTAATTATAGACATGTATTTACAGAGATATCCCTTGGCTTGTTAAGTTAATTATACACACGTATTTACAGAGATATCCTTTGGCTTGTTAAGTTAATTATAGATTTACAGAGATATCCCTTGGCTTGTTAAGTTAATTATACACACGTATTTACAGAGATATCCCTTGGCTTGTTAAGTTAATTATAGATTTACAGAGATATCCCTTGGCTTGTTAAGTTAATTATACACATGTATTTACAGAGATATCCTTTGGCTTGTTAAGTTAATTATAGATTTACAGAGATATCCCTTGGCTTGTTAAGTTAATTATACATTTACCTTGGCTTGTTAAGTTAATTATACACATGTATTTACAGAGATATCCCTTGGCTTGTTAAGTTAATTATACACATGTATTTACAGAGATATCCCTTGGCTTGTTAAGTTAATTATACACATGTATTTACAGAGATATACCTTGGCTTGTTAAGTTAATTATACACATGTATTTACAGAGATATCCCTTGGCTTAATTAAGTTAATTATACACACATGTATTTACAGAGATATCCCTTGGCTTGTTAAGTTAATTATACACACTGTATTTACAGAGATATCCTTTGGATTGTTAAGTTAATTATACACAGAGATATCCCCTGGCTTGTTAAGTTATTATACACATATTTACAGAGATATCCCTTGGCTTGTTAAGTTAATTATAGATTTACAGAGATATCCCTTGGCTTGTTAAGTTAATTATAGACATGTATTTACAGAGATATCCCTTGGCTTGTTAAGTTAATTATAGACATGTATTTACAGAGATATCCCTTGGCTTGTTAAGTTAATTGTAGACACGTATTTACAGAGATATCCCTTGGCATTTTAAGTTAATTGTAGACATGTATTTACAGAGATATCCCTTGGCTTGTTAAGTTAATTATACACATGTATTTACAGAGATATCCCTTGGCTTGTTAAGTTAATTATACACATGTATTTACAGAGATATCCCTTGGCTTGTTAAGTTAATTATAGACATGTATTTACAGAGATATTCCTTGGCTTGTTAAGTTAATTATACACATGTATTTACAGAGATATCCCTTGGCTTGTTAAGTTAATTATAGACATGTATTTACAGAGATATCCCTTGGCTTGTTAAGTTAATTATACACATGTATTTATACACATGTATTTACAGAGATATCCCTTGGCTTGTTAAGTTAATTATACACATGTATTTACAGAGATATCCCTTGGCTTGTTAAGTTAATTATACACACGTATTTACAGAGATATCCTTTGGCTTGTTAAGTTAATTATAGACATGTATTTACAGAGATATCCCTTGGCTTGTTAAGTTAATTATAGACATGTATTTACAGAGATATCCCTTGGCTTGTTAAGTTAATTATACACATGTATTTACAGAGATATCCCTTGGCTTGTTAAGTTAATTATACACATGTATTTACAGAGATATCCCTTGGCTTGTTAAGTTAATTATAGACATGTATTTACAGAGATATCCCTTGGCTTGTTAAGTTAATTATACACATGTATTTACAGAGATATCCCTTGGCTTGTTAAGTTAATTATACACACGTATTTACATAGATATCCCTTGGCTTGTTAAGTTAATTATAGACATGTATTTACAGAGATATCCCTTGGCTTGTTAAGTTAATTATACACATGTATTTACAGAGATATCCCTTGGCTTGTTAAGTTAATTATAGATTTACAGAGATATCCCTTGGCTTGTTAAGTTAATTATACACATGTATTTACAGAGATATCCCTTGGCTTGTTAAGTTAATTATACACATGTATTTACAGAGATATCCCTTGGCTTGTTAAGTTAATTATACACATGTATTTACAGAGATATCCCTTGGCTTGTTAAGTTAATTATAGACATGTATTTACAGAGATATCCCTTGGCTTGTTAAGTTAATTATACACATGTATTTACAGAGATATCCCTTGGCTTGTTAAGTTAATTATACACACGTATTTACAGAGATATCCCTTGGCTTGTTAAGTTAATTATACACATGTATTTACAGAGATATCCCTTGGCTTGTTAAGTTAATTATACACATGTATATATCCCTACCCTTGGCTTGTTAAGTTAATTATACACATGTATTTACAGAGATATCCCTTGGCTTGTTAAGTTAATTATAGACATGTATTTACAGAGATATCCCTTGGCTTGTTAAGTTAATTATAGACATGTATTTACAGAGATATCCCTTGGCTTGTTAAGTTAATTATAGACATGTATTTACAGAGATATCCCTTGGCTTGTTAAGTTAATTATAGACATGTATTTACAGAGATATCCCTTGGCTTGTTAAGTTAATTATAGACATGTATTTACAGAGATATCCCTTGGCTTGTTAAGTTAATTATAGACATGTATTTACAGAGATATCCCTTGGCTTGTTAAGTTAATTATAGACATGTATTTACAGAGATATCCCTTGGCTTGTTAAGTTAATTATACACATGTATTTACAGAGATATCCCTTGGCTTGTTAAGTTAATTATACCATGTATTTACAGAGATATCCCTTGGCTTGTTAAGTTAATTATAGACATGTATTTACAGAGATATCCCTTGGCTTGTTAAGTTAATTATAGACATGTATTTACAGAGATATCCTTTGGCTTGTTAAGTTAATTATACACATGTATTTACAGAGATATCCCTTGGCTTGTTAAGTTAATTAAACACATGTATTTACAGAGATATCCCTAGACTTGTTAAGTTAATTATACACATGTATTTACAGAGATATCCTTTGGCTTGTTAAGTTAATTGTAGACATACATGGATTCCCTATGGATTGATACATGGATTACTATATAAATACAGGAATAAAAAAGGATACCTGTCTTGGTCAGTGTATTGTAGGCAAAATAGATGGTCTTATAACACAACCAAATAGATTCAAATGTGACGTTTCAATGACTACACTGTCACCTCCATTAGATAAATGATCAGTGTGAAGTGTACTAGCACTGATGTATGTTCTGTGGGAGATGGTGAGGCATCAACCAACCTTTTTTGGCTGTACTATAATCCTATGTACACTAAGGTAGAAAACAGTGCGAATAGATATTAAAATGATAATAGATAAAAAGTACTCAAGATGGTTAAGCTGTATTTAGAAGTTACAATTGTACAGTGATTTGTTTTTGATAACTTAAATGTAATTCAGGGTACCTGCACATTTTCGGAGTTCGTTTTAATAATATTGATGTTATCCTCTTGTTTTCAAATTGATATCACCTTAGTTGTTCAAAGTATTTATTTTCAGGTAATTGCCCAGTTTTAAAGCTGAAAAAGGATCCTTTTAAAAAAACTTGCATTATTTTTACAAGATACAGAGAAATTGAAAGCATCTGTCTATATTAATACTTTCCAAATTGATGCAAACACAAGCCGCTGTCAAGTTCCAGTAAATCAAACAACAGTCTGCATTATGATGATTTTACTTTGGGGGAAAATGAAACATATGATTCTTTTATAACAGGGAGGACGATGATGAAGATGAGGATGATGCGTCCAGGAACACACCATCGTTGACAACTTTTTTCAGCAGGAAAGGAGAAGACAAGAACTTACAACGACACAAATATTTCAAGGACAGATGTTTAAATTCACTAAGTGAATTGTAAAAATAAATTGGCTATTTCTGCTAACGTTCTTCATGATTTAAAAGTACATTTTTGTCAGATTTCTTCAGTGAAATGTTTACTGGAAAACGTTCCTTCATGAGTATTTTGACCTAACATGAACATCCTGTGTTAAAGTGACATTTCATGAACCATTCATTTTTTTTTACCTTGTTAACAAAAGCAGAGAAGATGTAACCTTACCTCATAGTATCTCATAGTTTACACATTTATGCAGTTTCTCTTTTGTAGATAATTTTTGCATGAATATCAGTGAAATTGATGAATGCTCCCCAAAAACAACTTTTTAGACACAAAATTTTAACAGAGGACAATCATTCTGTAATTTAGGGGTTCTTGGCCCAAAATTATGTAGACTGCACATCTTCTTATTATGATCAATGTAAGCACTTAGTTTCCTTATCGTACTTTAAATAAGAGCAGAGTTATTCCAAGGATTCAAAATTTTAACAAAGGGCAATAACTCTGCAATTAGGGGATGCATGCCTTGAATTTAGAACACTGCATTTCTTCTTAGTAAGACAGATGTATACACCAATTTCATTATTCTGGTTTAAATAAAAGCAAAATTATGCTCCAGATATTAAATTTAACAAAGGGCAATTACTATGTTTTTAAGGGGCTGTGGGTCCTGACTTTGATACACTGCACATCCTCTTCGTATGACAAATGTACACGCCAATTTTCATTATGATAATATCAACGGAAGCTAACCTATGACAAAAAACAATAATGGGAAATAACTTTAATTTATTGGCTGTGGGTCCTGACTTTAATTTAGTGTATATTACTATAGTATGAACCATGCATACACAAAGTTTTGTTATCCTAGTCTAAATCCAAGCAAAGTTATGCTCTAGACACACAAATTTTAGCAATAACTCTGTAATTTAGAAGTTTTTGCCCCTACCATTCGTAAAAAATGAAAGCAATAAAATTTGAAGTTTTATTCTGAACACAAAATTTTCACAAAGGTTAAACTTTTTTAAGAGAATTAATGGAAGAGTCTTGGGTGTTTTATACAAATTGTTATCGTAGATAAAGAAGATGATGTTTTCTGTTATGTAACAGAAAAAGTTCGCACATGCTTTTAATTATATTATCAGTACATATATAGGATCGATGGTTGGATATAATCTCAATAACTGACTCCCAGGAGTTAAGAGTCAAAGTCAAATTGGCTGAAATTTTAAAAATTGATGTTGAAAGTTTTATAACATCAAAGATATCAATGTTAATAGGACTCTGGTGACTGCCAAGGCCATTTAGTCTTTTATCTTTATAATCTTTTGTTCGTGAATGCGAGAGTGATATCAAATTCATATTGTCAGGCGGCACAATGAATAGAATTATTATCTCTCCACAACACGAGCTAGCTTTAATTTACACATCTAACGTGAAAGGGCGCCGGTTCACCTGTCGCATCAGATGTACATCCAGGCATCGTCCTTCTCTGTACAAGTTTAATTAAATATAAACACGAGAAGAATAAGAAGTAAAATTCCCATTATCTACTGTCTGGTAACAAACAGGAATTGTTGTTAAAAAGCTGAAAACAAAAGATACGTAGAAAAAGATATGAAAAAAGATACAACGAGAAATAAATAAAAAGAAAACAAGCAACGAACCCTCCTGAGTTATAACTAATTACCAACAGACAAAAGTTCAAATGTTGGAATAACATCTCATAAATTGTTTTATCGACTTTTGCACGTACATTTCAAACCGGCTGGATTGAAATAGAGAAGCAAGTCACTTTATTGATACTTTCCTTTTGAAGATTTTTGTAACATTGGTGAATCAAGATGTTTTGGGTGGATATTTCTCAAATCTCTTAAAATTTATTTCTAAAATCTTGTTTGTCTTTCATTGAGCTTCTGCAGTATTGAGGTCTACATGTAGGGGGAAAACGAAAGAACATTCGGCAATCCTACAGTGATTCTAGAAACGTACCTCATTCAAGTGGAATCAAATTTCATCGCATTCTCAATTTTTTGATAAATTAGCGGAATGATAAAATTGCTCCAACACGACATTTGTTATATTGAAAACAACAAAAAAAACACCGACATGTACAAGGATGTCTGCCATAAATTTTCTAGACCAAAATGCAAACGTTTATAATGTCTAACAAAAACAACAAGAATATAACTAGGTGTGATCACATTCAAAACTCGAATTCAATAGAACTAGAGCAAAATAAGATCAAAAGAAAGATATATACGGAGTCTTCTGAAAAAGAATAAGACCGGGTGTTCCGGAAGAGTAAGTGTCTCTTGCTTAATTGACGACAACCACCATGTCAATCGATTGAAATGTTACGTTCCCAAATGGAAACAATGTATACTACAACGGTACCAACAGGTATACAAACGAGTATCAAACACGCCAAGCTTCATATCACACAAAAATTAGAAATGGACTATTTTTCATCGAGATCGCTATGACGACCGTAAAACTTTCCCATTTCATCAACCAACAACTCTTGAAACCGTGTATTATGAGTTTATCTTTATATAATAATTGTGTAATTAAACTGCCCTGATTTCATCGCAAAGAAATCGCTAAAATAAGAGTTCTACTAAAAATATCACGGTTACAGCATCTTGTTAATTTGTGTCTAGAAAATAAGTGACTTGATAATGATACGCAAGAATGTTGATCTTACTATAAAACATTTACTTTGTTATAGTCAACAGAAGGAAAAGTCTTCTTTTTTCATGAGGTACGAAACGGAATCATCAAGAGGACACTGATACAAAATTCTTTACACTGTATTGCCTATATATGTGACTATACTTCCTGACCTATTCCGGCAGAAACAGAATATTATTCAAGTATCAGCTTATAAAGATTTACATTTAGTTTGTCACACGAACTCTGAAGTAAAAATCGTCGCGTATTCCTTAAACAAGGAATACAAGAAACAGTAAAACACTCATTGGATGTCAGTTTACAGTTTGTTGCAGAACAGACCCCCCCACCCACCTCCCCTGTCAAAATAATCAGCCAGGGATCCCGAGTTCGAATCCTAACGGAGGCATTGGAATGAATAATAACCTTTGCTACATTGGCGTCCATGTAGTCATTCGGGGTATAATACATAGCATTGCCTCACAGACATTTAAGAAACAGAGTATAGACAAAGACATGTAGCACAGCGCATGACGTTGCACATGGTTACATATACCGGTATATTCCGTTACACAAAAGTTCCGGTGTTCCATCACTGCATTAATTGTTCTTAAAACGAATGTTGATTATTCAAAGGTAAAAGAGTAGAATGTCGAGCAATTAAACTAAACTCAAAACAGAAATTGAAAAAAAGGAAAAAGAATTGTAAAATACTTGAGTTAAAACGACTTATTTCAAGCTGGATGACTATTTTTTTTTCAAGGATACATTGACCTTGTGTCGCTTTAGTGTTTATTGACAAGACATATGATATCACTTTTGAAATGACCCATTCTCTTATATTTAAATGTGAACACTTTCTAGCAAGCTTATCAGTATAAGAAATTCCATGTTAAATTACAAGCATTTCCACTTCTTTTCTGAGAGATACGTTTAATTTTGTCTCTGAAATTGCTTTATCATCTCAATATTCATTTTCGTCTCATTTAATTACAAGATAATAAAACGGGAAATAAGATCACTTGTTCGATTTTTCTTTCCCGATAAAGCGTAACAATCTTTACGATAACACCTAAGGGACGATAATGAGAAGCTATTTCATAAAAGAAGCATGGCCTTTTATTCCGAATTAATCACGCCGGAGACTCTTGGATGAATACCCGTATCAAATCCGTCATCATGAGAACAACATGTCGGGGTCTTTCAAGCGAGAATCCTATCACATGTTAACGTCAAGTATAACCTATAACCTCGGACAATAACGTATTTAGAGAATACACAACTATTGGGTGCCTCAGGGAACCTGTTCAGGAACTATGGAACATATGGTCTTATTTTCTTTGTCCTTTTCTAAGGGTCTACATAGTGATATTTTACTTTGCTTAAATCAATCTTACGTAAAACTGTAGACTTAATCATTGCCTTGTGTTTTTAGTATCTTTTCAGTAAAATTTTCCATATTTTCTTGGAAGTAATGTTAATCAAACTAATTTTTTCTTGATACGCTTCGCTTCACTACCACCCGAAACATAATTCAAAGTAGTAAAACCTGCACGAAAAACGTTGAAAAAAGAAGACTAAGACCAGATGTTTGAAAGGTAAAGGATCTTCTGCTTTATCTTTGAAAATTCGCCGTGTGCATCTAGAAAACAAAGTAATTCAACGTTCTCTAAATGAGAGTCGGGTTAACGACGAAAGGAATGGAACAATTTTTCCAATAAATATTTTGAGAGTCACAAATATTACAATAATACAAACTGTGACTTGACACGAATTCCTAGCTCCCCTTGCATATAAATGTACACAGTGTACATCATAGTTGCTAAAATAAGTATTGTATTATATATATGGACTGTGATGGGTTGGACATTCATGCTAAGTCTGTGTGATTAAACACCCGAATCAAATAATGATATTTAATAAAACAAATATACATATAAATATAAAAGACAGACACATGTCACGGAAATAAAAATGACCAAGAACACCTTCAAACCAGGACATTGACACTATCAAAATCCATTTTATCTATTTATTTGTTCATTCATTTATTTATCTAATCTATTTTTTATTCATCATATTGAAAAAAATCAACAACACAAGGACTTAATAATAATTTTTCAAATCTTGTTCTGAATAATACATAAATACGGACCATGGATTTTGGATATGTGCCGTGTCTTTGTGGAAACGCGCACTGTAATGTCATTGATACGATGTGTTAGATACAAGTTCTTTGTAATAAATAACTTATAGTGAACAACTGGTAATGAAAATCGATATTACAGCTGTACGTACCAATAGGACGTCATTTAACTGATAGATATGACGCAATCAAAATATGACTCGAAAAACGTAGTCCGGAATATATATATATCGACAATACAGCAGTGGACGAACCATTAATGGCGTCTGGAAATTAAAGCTCATATTGAACAAAGGGCCCATAATTGAGCAATGGCAATAAATAACATGACACAGAAAACAAGTAATGACAGACTTTTTCGGGAATAGATCATGTCATTTAAAAAAAAAAAAAAAAACAGCACCTCTTTAATAGAATGACGTCAATAATACCTGAAGCACCAGTTTATCATTGGGCGAATAATGAGAACTGAACAATTATAACATAAACGATAGGACAAAATATGAGCAGTAGCTCACATACCCAAACACCACCCACCAAAGCGGCCAGATAGTGACCTTTGACCTTGTTGAATACCCACCACATTGTAATGTAATATCTAGACCTTGGCGTTGTGATGCTATGGTGTGAATCTGAACCTCTTGTTCACAACTCTTTCTTTTCTTTTCCTTTTGCACGCACGCATTCACACACAGGCTACAGTCAACGTGATGACTTAACTCGACCAACAATTACGCTAAACATGTAGTGATGCATGAGAATAATACAAATATACTGCGGGATATCCATGGCAATGTGACAGGTTCGAGATCGAATTCTGCACCAAATACTCTACTCTCTCTAATTTACATCTATTGCTTGGAAAATTATGCCCAGACAAACTCTGGTTTAAAAATGAGAACCATTCACGTGTAGTATTGTTCATGTAGAATACGAATCATTTATATATTTACAAACATTTCCCCTCCTCTCTTTGATTTTGAGTTTTAACTACGTTTTTCTCGTTGTATGGAATACTATAAATAGAAATTCCTTTGGTAAGTAAAGGGGGCTAGACCATCCAATCAGGCTTGTAGTCCTACTATGATACAGTCTAGCGTATATTATATTATACGCGATGGTCGAGGGGTTACGATCACTTCCGCTCTCTGCACCCCTGGAATATGTCATGACAAAACTGAAGGCACGAGTTAAGTGATTTGTTTGGCTCTAGGAGAAAAATCTGACTAATCACAGACTGATATGCTCCTTTTTAAGATTACAAAGGAGTAACATCAAACTCCATACCCATTACAATATACCGTTATGCGACCTCGAGATTCGTTTGATGTACATTGATCTTGCCCACAAGGTGTCGCACATGGAACCTTTAACTTTGCCATTACATGTTCAAGAGTGAAGAGAGCGAAAATGATCGTAACCCCTGGAGTATCAATGATGATGTTATGTAGGTAGGGTAGCAAGAGGCATGTATATCATACATAAAGTGTCAAAAACAGACATATAAAGTGTCACAGAATGGATATTTATAAAACCCACAATGCCATGCGAAGCTAATAAGACATAGTTGACGATAGTAGGTGAAATCAATGAACAATAGATAGTGAAAGCCTTTTTGATATGTAGTTCTAGTATCAAAGTAAAGTGTAGTTGCCGGTTGTTGCGCCAACGCTCGTGCAATGATTGAACACTCACGATGTAGGATTCTCTTCTATGTAGTGTAGCTGACAAAAAGTGTATAGTGTCTACGATAATATACAATTTGAGTCCTCTCATTTGCCACTCATGCTCTGATGATTAAAAGCTCAGGTTTATTAGAATGTCAAGGTTTTCTGAGGAGGTTTCCTGTACGAACAAGAAAAAAAGTACAATAGTTGCATCACTATCGTTGTGGCAAGAAGGAAAATTACACGTGTGCCAAATTCTTTCTTTGTTATTATCGTCACTTTGCTTCTCTAATTTGTTGTCAATTCTTCAGTCTCGGCTTTGAGAATGTAGTATCATTTTATTTGACCCTATATTTCACCGTACAGTTGGGGTCGATGTAACATAAAGCCTTTATCGTGTCGGGTCATCGAAAGTATCGTTGTATTTAAAATATCTCCAAGCACATTTTCCAGGTATATCTTGAGTTAACATTGTTGCCTTGTGTATTGACAAGGGCCGAGGTCAACCGTATTAGTGTCATTTCTTATTTCTTCCTAGCCCTTAGGTATATACATTTATGTTAATGAAACACAATTGTTGATTGATCTGTACTTTGAGGAGTGATCGCGTCCCCACGACAACTCTTAATGCTACACTGATAGACAAATACGTCGCTAGTTTGTTGTTTAAAATGCCGGTATTTCAATTTAATATTTATTAGGTATAGCTACGACTAAATATTTGAATGTGTTGTCTTGTGTGAACTCGATTCAAAATGGAGCTAACTGGACACGAAAACGAAACGAAAGGAAACAACAAGGCCGATGGCGAGATAAATGAAGGCTTCGATGTAAACGGTGAGGTCATATCGGTAAGTTTGGAATTCTACTGAATCAATGTGTACCTACCTGTACATGTAATTACGATCCATTATATGAAAACTTCTATAAGTCTTATTCCGCGACCAGCTTAGTATTTTTAAAGTATGGCAAATATTTATCAGTATAGATGGGGAGTTTACTTGGCTTTTGTTAAAAAGTGACGGCTTTTTGCTGCCCCTGTGTGTGTTACGTAATAGACGCCTTGACCTAGTTAAGAATATCTTGGAGGTAATCTGCCCCTTTCTCAAAACACAAATATTACATAAATCACACCACATACATAAAACATCAAACGGATACAAAGTTATCAACTAAAAACGGAAGTGTAAAATCAGGTGTCTCGGTAATCCCTCCGGCAGATATTATTATTTATGTATATATATATCTTGTAGTTATAAATATTTATATCGTTTAAAGCAGAAAGAACACAAAGTTAATCTACCTTTCCATTTAAGTACAATCCTGCAGGTAGTAAGTTTTACATTTATTATTCTCTATAATTCAGTAGGTAAGATTTAAAATGTATTTTCGTGGTATTCAGAATGTCGACACCGCATTTTTGTATTTAGTTTGTTGTAACCGATCTTGTAAGAGGTATTAACAGATCTTATAAGTGGTATTAACCGATCTTGTAGGTGGTATTAACAGATCTTGTAAGTGGTATTAACCGATCTTGTAGGTGGTATTAACCGATCTTATAAGTGGTATTAACCGATTTTGTAAGTGGTATTAACCGATCTTATAGGTGGTATTAACCGATTTTGTAAGTGGTATTAACCGATCTTATAGGTGGTATTAACCGATCTTGTAAGTGGTATTAACCGATCTTATAGGTGGTACTAACCGATCTTGTAAGTGGTATTAACCGATCTTGTAAGAAGTATTAACCGATCTTATAAGTGGTATTAACCGATCTTGTAAGTGGTATTAACCTATCTTATAAGTGGTATTAACCGATCTTGTAAGTGGTATTAACCGATCTTGTGAGTGGTATTAACCGATCTTGTAAGTGGTATTAACCTATCTTGTAAGTGGTATCTTCTTCGGTAAGATAATACTGGGATAGTTTGTGGAGACTCGGGACCAAATTTCATGTTTTTTCCGATACAGAAGTACAGTTTTTATATCGTTGTTAGTTGATTCGTGGATAGATAGACAACAATTCATCACATCTTTTAATACATTGATTAATTTTTGACAAATGGATCTATAGATCAACAGTTTCTAGGAAATCAGCGAAAATAAACGCCCTATAAAATACGGAAATGTAGTTATTTACAATATGGCGCCACCAATCTTACCTGTGGGAATACAATCAGACTAAATCTCATTATTGGTTCTCTCGAAGAGATACACATCAACCTAACCATGTTTACTGTATAGTCGGAATATTCGTGAGGAATTCAACTTCGCTATATTCTTTGTCAATAAGCTATGTTCATCGTGAAGCAAAATGTCAGAAAATGGACAGGTGAAAGAAGTGTAGTACGTGGCGGTTTCTGCCTGAAAAAAATGGGGTCGGCAGGATTTTTTAAAAACTTTGCTTGCTTTTGACACTGACTTCTCAAGTACCGTATATTGATTTAGTAATTGTTTATACCCATGTGTCAGGTATCAAGTGTCGTATGCGTGTATGGTGAGACGTGTAACTAGTCCGAGGGTTCTTACTATAAATACCTGTGATTTTACGCTTGTCTTGGTCGCGAGCGATAGTCAGAATTCCTCTACATAGTCTATGTATAACATGAAATGTTAGTGCTCTGTGTTTGAACCGGCGTGCAGACAATGTTTCTGTAGTTTACGGTAGTTGACAGCAGAGAGATATGAATGTGGTACATATATAGAAAGACAAAGCGTTTTTTCACTTTCATATGTGTCAAAGCAATTGCATTTTCATCAATTTTTCTCAACAACCTTACTTCTCATAATGTCTGACATCGATATGGTTAGTGTCTCGGTGAATTACCTAAGGTTACTAGTATTTCTAGGGATCGAACTAAAAACTTGAAACAAATCATGACAGAGAATTTATAGGAACTTTATTTGCCAAAATGTTGAATAAATGGGACGTTCGGGAAACCGAAAGCATTGATACATTTTTTGGTCGTATAATAAAAATGTTTACATGGTTATCAATCAATAGACATACTATCCTGTATACTGGTAATTGTGATGTTTCATGAAGTTTTATCTCTTAGAGCTATATGTAGCAATGCGAAATACATCACCGTAAGAATAATATTTATAATATATATAGTATCTTAAGTGGCTTTAATCCTACTGTATTTCTGTATCCCCCTATCTTCACCTCCCCTTACCCCCTCACTTCACCCCCCCCCTCCCCCCCAACCTGGTGTGTTATCATAATAGCGGATAGACGTCATCTTATCACAGATGATCTAATTGATGTCACGGTGCCGCTTTCTATGAACGTTTAAGCAAATCAACGCAATTTGTCATTATCATAATGGCTTTATATATTGTCGAGTTTGTCTGGTGAATTTTATTAACATAGACATACATGTGTTGTAGAAAACAATCTACTGTAAAGAATATAATTTTTGGCGAGTTTGGTTAATTTCCTTATAATAGGTACATTGTAGAATAAGGTCTACTGCGAATCATATCATTTTTGGCGAGTTTGTCTGATTAATTTTATTATAGATACACGGAAGAATAAGGTCTACTGTGAATCATATCATTTTTGGCGAGTTTGTCTGATTAATTTTATTATAGATACACGGAAGAATAAGGTCTACTGTGAATCATATCATTTTTGGCGAGTGTGTCTGATTAATTTTATTATAGATACACGGAAGAATAAGGTCTACTGTGAATCATATCATTTTTGGCGAGTGTGTCTGATTAATTTTATTATAGATACACGGAAGAATAAGGTCTACTGTGAATCATATCATTTTCGGCGAGTTTGTCTGATTAAGTTCATGATAAAAGTTGTATTGTAGAATAAGGTCTACTGCAAATCATATCAGTTTGGCGAGATCGTCTGATTAATTTCATTACAATAGATACATATTGCAACAATAGAACAATGACAATTATATGTGTGTTTTCTGAACCGTGCCACTTTTCGAATGAATTAAGACGGGTCACGCTAAGTGCTTTTAATATTTTTCGTCACACTGGTAACCCAATATCATAGTGTAAATAGGTATGGATGTATCAACGCAAAAATGAAAAAAGGTAAATAAAAAAGTAACAGAATAAAATCGAAATGAAAATAATAAGAAAAATAAAAATAGATTCACTTGTTCAATTTTTTCCTAAAATATTTTTGTCATAAACTAGTAAGAGAGGCCCACTGATGAACAAGACTAGTATATACTTTTATGTTATCACGTCCTTGCTATCACAGGACTCTGCTTATGCTAAAGACAGGAGGTTTTGAGATATACCTTAATCTTAATACTTTAAACAAGGCTTAGTGACACTGGTCTTACACATACCGCGGGGATGCGGTGCTAACATCAATATTTAACCCGTTATCACGATTATACTTGACCTAAGACTGGACAGAGTCCAGGTACTAAAACGGATGGACTGACCACCTTGTGAATCCTTTACAAAATAAAGACAGAAGGGAGGGCAGCGTCCACATGGAGGAAAACCATGAAGCTCTATTGGGTGTAAGTGTATTCTAAAGATTGTATCTATGTTTGACCTCTGTTACACTTAATTTCTTTTGCTATTTCAGATGTATTAATACTTATCTGATTTATTTCTATGTATAGATTTTAAAAAAAATATTTCTATTCGGGTTTTTTATCTAGAGAATAGTTAACATGTTGTGCAGCAAACTTACGTATAAGATACTTGTATATATCAATACAGATATAAAAAATGAACAGCAGATTTATCCTGGATACAGTGCATGTTTTATCAAGAAATTTCAACGCTCTAACTACATGTCTATTCACTTGATGTTTGCTTACATGGTCACATGGCCAGATATAGGACATCAACCAACGCTATTTCATTTCAAATCAAGTAATATTTAATAGATGTACAGAATTATATTATTTCAGAGTAAAATGTTAATGTTACAGATTTACATAGCCCTTTCTATGTGTTCATTTTCTCCATTTTTAGTTAACATGTTATTGCCATGAATTACTTTTACTTTAAGAACATTCAAATATAGCTTTTCCGAAAATGAAAATGAAGAAAGCAAGTCTTATTGATGCCACTTAAAACGATGGCACCAATAAAATGCCACCACAACTGCCACCGTAGCTGATGATGTTTACACAGCTGTCGGCTCTACTTCCACCATTGCCACCGTAGCTGATGATGTTGACAGAGCCGCGGACTCTACTTCCACCATTGCCACCGTAGCTGATGATGTTGACACAGCCGTCACCTATACTTCCACCATTGCCACCGTAGCTGATGATGTTTACACAGCTGTCGGCTCTACTTCCACCATTGCCACCGTAGCTGATGATGTTGACACGGCCGCCGGCTCTACTTCCACCATTGCCACCGTAGCTGATGATGTTGACACGGCCGTCGGTTGTACTTCCACCATTGCCACCGTAGCTGATGATGTTGACACAGCTGTCGGCTCTACTTCCACCATTGCCACCGTAGCTGATGATGTTGACACAGCCGTCGGCTATACTTCCACCATTGCCACCGCAGCTGATGATGTTGACAGGGCCGCGGACTCTACTTCCACCATTGCCACCGTAGCTGATGATGTTGACACAGCTGTCGGCTCTACTTCCACCATTGCCACCGCAGCTGATGATGTTGACAGAGCCGCGGACTCTACTTCCACAACTGCCACCGTAGCTGATGATGTTGACACGGCCGCCGGCTCTACTTCCACCATTGCCACCGTAGCTGATGATGTTGACACGGCCGTCGGTTGTACTTCCACCATTGCCACCGTAGCTGATGATGTTGACACAGCTGTCGGCTCTACTTCCACCATTGCCACCGTAGCTGATGATGTTGACACGGCCGTCGGCTATACTTTCACCATTGCCACCGCAGCTGATGATGTTGACAGGGCCGCGGACTCTACTTCCACCATTGCCACCGTAGCTGATGATGTTGACACAGCTGTCGGCTCTACTTCCACCATTGCCACCGCAGCTGATGATGTTGACAGAGCCGCGGACTCTACTTCCACAACTGCCACCGAAGTTGATGATGTTGACACAGCCGTCGGCTCTACTTCCACAACTGCCACCGTAGCTGATGATGTTGACACGGCCGTCGGTTGTACTTCCACCATTGCCACCGTAGCTGATGATGTTGACACAGCTGTCGGCTCTACTTCCACCATTGCCACCGTAGCTGATGATGTTTACACAGCCGTCGGCTATACTTCCACCATTGCCACCGCAGCTGATGATGTTGACAGGGCCGTGGACTCTACTTCCACCATTGCCACCGTAGCTGATGATGTTGACACAGCTGTCGGCTCTACTTCCACCATTGCCACCGCAGCTGATGATGTTGACAGAGCCGCGGACTCTACTTCCACAACTGCCACCGAAGTTGATGATGTTAACACAGCCGTCGGCTCTACTTCCACAACTGCCACCGTAGCTGATGATGTTGACACAGCCATCGGCTGTACTTCCACCATTACCACCGTAGCTAATGATGTTGACACGGCCGCCGGCTCTACTTCCACCATTGCCACCGTAGCTGATAATGTTGACACGGCCGTCGGTTATACTTCCACCATTGCCACCGTAGCTGATGATGTTGACACAACCATCGGCTGTACTTCCACCATTACCACCGTAGCTGATGATATTGACACGGCCGCCGGCTCTACTTCCACCATTGCCACCGTAGCTGATGATGTTGACACAGCCGTCGGTTGTACTTCCACCATTGCCACCGTAGCTGATGATGTTGACACAGCTGTCGGCTCTACTTCCACCATTGCCACCGTAGCTGATGATGTTGACACAGCCGTCGGCTATACTTCCACCATTGCCACCGCAGCTGATGATGTTGACAGGGCCGCGGACTCTACTTCCACCATTGCCACCGTAGCTGATGATGTTGACACAGCTGTCGGCTCTACTTCCACCATTGCCACCGCAGCTGATGATGTTGACAGAGCGCGGACTCTACTTCCACAACTGCCACCGAAGTTGATGATGTTGACACAGCCGTCGGCTCTACTTCCACAACTGCCACCGTAGCTGATGATGTTGACACAGCCATCGGCTGTACTTCCACCATTACCACCGTAGCTAATGATGTTGACACGGCCGCCGGCTCTACTTCCACCATTGCCACCGTAGCTGATGATGTTGACACAGCCATCGGCTGTACTTCCACCATTACCACCGTAGCTGATGATATTGACACGGCCGCCGGCTCTACTTCCACCATTGCCACCGTAGCTGATGATGTTGACACAGCCATCGGCTCTACTTCCACCATTGCCACCGTAGCTGATAATGTTGACACGGCCGTCGGTTATACTTCCACCATTGCCACCGAAGTTGATGATGTTGACACAGCCGTCGGCTCTACTTCCACAACTGCCACCGTAGCTGATGATGTTGACACAGCCATCGGCTGTACTTCCACCATTACCACCGTAGCTGATGATGTTGACACGGCCGCCGGCTCTACTTCAACCATTGCCACCGTAGCTGATGATGTTGACACGGCCGTCGGTTGTACTTCCACCATTACCACCGTAGCTGATGATGTTGACACGGCCGCCGGCTCTACTTCACTGCCACCGTAGCTGATAGTGATCCTGTCACACCCGTCGCCTCTGCTCCCACCATTTCTATCTCACTACTATTGTCACAAAAACCGACAAACATCATCAGCTGCCAAATTATTATTTAGACTCCGACTATTACCACTAATTAACTACTTAGCCCTGCCCGTGAGTGCATACATTGTATGCTTCATCTAAACAACAACGTGCAGCTGCATATCATGCACATGTGCATTTACTGTTTCTGTAGGGTTGTAAACCACATGGTGGTAATTTACTAGCAAATTGACCATAAAACGGAAGCTTCGGCCTCTATTTCCCCCTTTTTGTTACATTGTACATGGATTTTGTTATCTAGTTTTCAGTTCAGCAAGTGATGGTATGTCAATTACGGTTTTATAAGTTAGATATAGCATCGAAACTTATCGATCATATAGTGATTTTACATTATCACATTCTCTGTTTCAGGAGCTATCCCACAAGGATAAAGCACATGTCAAAGGTCAGTCGGAAAGAGGACGTAGACGAGTTTCATATGCCTCTGATACGGACACAAACCCTCCCAAGGATAATGACACCCCTGATTTTGACGTAATAGCTGAAGATGACAGCAAAACTTCTGAAGAACTCTTCATGTACACCGTCAGTGAGACTCCGCCAATATACATGATTCTTCTTATAGGATTCCAGGTAAGATATTCGGCAATGTTCTAACACAGGTCTTTAATGAAACATCATGTTTAGATGTATAGATGTTTGTGGAATAACAACCCCATCTGTTGTTGTTGTCATGCATGTAAATTGATAGAAAATTTGTAATGATGGAGTTTGACATGCACGTGATCTGTTTTAAATTTGGTAAATGAAATAAATTAGAAATATTCCATTTCCCACCATTACCATTTAACTTTTCGGACAATTATTTTCTTCGTGTCTTCCTTTTCATTTTCATTTTCTGCACAGTTTCTGTTCCTGCATGGCATTGTTGTAGTCAAACACATTTATCTAATTTCAGCATGCACTCTTGTCACTTTCTGGGTCACTCGCTGTCGTCCTTATCGCCTCTGATGTCATATGTGCTGAAGATGACGCAGAGTTTATATCTCAAATGCTCAGCTCTACACTGTTAGTAAATGGTCTGTCAACTATTTTAATGGTGACTATTGGAGCCAGGCAAGTACATATTACACAAGGAGAATGTGGTCGTTATTGTACATTATAGAAGTCATAGTGGAACAAAATATATTCAAATGCTCATAGTTTGGTTAGAAGTCTAAGCGAAGGAATATGTACTATCTAAATCATGGCTAGAGTTTTAGAAAATGGTTCCTCTTTTAATTCAAAGATGTTCTTTTTACTGACAAAAGCCGGGGGAAAACAATGTTTGCGATATTAGTTAGATGCTGCTGCCACTACAGATGGGTGCGACTATCACGATACATGTACAGTTACTAGTGGTGCTAGGAAGTGTCTATATAACTGATGTGCTGGCAAATACATGCTTGTATTTTATGAAAGGTAGTCATTCTAATATTAGAGGTGAAGACTGCAGGGGAAAACATGAATCTAGCTTTTAGTCAAGTGGACACGATATCTGGCTTGTCCTCCTTGTATTAGACTTCAGTAACACTGCAGAAAAGACAATTAAATATCTCTCTGATCTATGTTTTTATCGTATAGATTGCCTTTGTACCAGGGAGCGTACGGTGGTTACATCATTCCTTTGCTGGCATTGATGCAGATTGATCCCAATAGATGTACTATTCAGCGTCCGACTGGTTTGCACAATTCTAGTATCGGTAAGAAAGTGTTTTAAACTTAAATAAAATGATCACTCTTCCTATATCTGCATAATAGGTTTACATGTAAGATATACCTAATATGTCTAGTATATTTCATTTCCTATTGCCTTGTAATTTAGGTCTTGGTGTGTGAGCACTAGTATCAGAAGAGTCCAATTAATGATATGTTTATGCACGTGATTACTGATGAATATAACCCTCTACAAAATAGTTTCTGAATCAGTCCTCTTTATGTTTAATCTTGTGAAATCTTAATTTAATAACAAATCGTATGTTCTTTCTTTTTATTTGGAATTATGTGTGCAAGTATAAGCACCCAAAGTGGTCGTGACAGTTTTCTATTTAAAAAAAAATTTAAAAAAAACATGAAACTATATATATATCTAATGAATAGAATTGGAAGATAACATATAAATAAATATCAGACGTTATTTGTTTCAGGGCTTAATGCAACAGTTTCTTCAATACCGTTTAACGAAGAACAAGCAAAGAAAGATCTCATCTTGTCTTATTTCAAGGAGGTATTTGCATGTATAGGATGCTGTTAGCTTGCATCAAGATTTACTACCGATAAAGATTCCGCTTTCGTTTGGGCGTCCATTTCTTTAGTTTGCATGATCTCTTTTATGAAAAGGAACATTTATTTTATCGATAAGTAGGAAATGAGTAGTAAACAAAGATTAGATCACGGGAAATCTGTTGAAATAGCATAAAGCAAACTTGCTTTCTAAAGCATGATCGTGTAAGCATATCCATGAATTCGCCTTCACGAATGTTCTGTAGAATTTATTTCTCAAAGTACACGTTTTCTCATTTATTTGCAAACCAAAGTAATTTACGTCAAATTAAGATATCTAACCTTAATCCCAGAAAGTCTTGATTTTCCTCTGCTGTTTCATAATATCTTACGACCTTGCTTTTACCAACGAGTCCTAGAAAAATACAAAAGCTGTATCAATGCAGCCCCTTTAATTGTTTTGCTACATTGTATCAAATTCTAATTTTAATGAAAGGTGTTCATAGTTTATTTAATTGCAGGGGATATAATCTGCCAGGGCACTAGTCTCCCATGCAATACAAGTTTTGCCGTAACTCCGCATGATTAAATTCGTTCGTTATAAAAGTGGCACAGATTGATGATAAAACATGTGTCTATGGTTCTTTTAAAAGCAAATACGTGAAAATCATGAAACTAAATGAACAATTTGGTTAGTTCATGTATATATCTCGAAATTGATTGTGATCGATTCTGAGTTTTCTCTGTCGCTTCATAGGTTTCTGAAGATATTATTGACGAGTCATAAACTTAAAACATAGTACAATGCCGTATTGTTCATTTATTTTAGTTTATCTTGACTGTGTCTAATTCTATGTATGATATTTATATAAACTTTTTCATATCCATTAAATGTTTTAGGTTTTATTATCGTTATTTTCAGATTCAGGGTTGCCTTATGATCGTAGGCGCTGTCCATTTCCTAGTGGGTGCTACTGGCCTTGTGGGCGTGCTGTTACGATATGTTGGGCCAATCACGATTGTACCCAGTATATTACTACTTGGAATATATGTTGCAGAGCCGGTGATGAACTTTGTTGTCCCAAACTGGGGAATGTCTATCCTGTAGGTGTATCTGCTTTTCCGAATTGTATAAAAGGGTCTGTACGTAATCTGATGTCTTTATCGTATATGTATATCATCTGTTCATGTTTTGGGCTATTCACTTATGATCAATCACAATTTATGTTATTAAACGTTAGCAACAGGAAAATATGCATCCGCTATTATTAAGCGATATGAATCGTATAACGATCAGAGCCGAATAGCAAATTGATGAATTGGGTAGTAACATGAAAGAAATACATATTCACCACTACTCTGTAGTATTTTATTCCTCTATGAACAAGCATTTCTAATAAAACATTGTCTTTAAAGCAAGTATTTTTTTCTTCGGACAATTCAAGTGTTTAATTGTCACCAGATAAAAAATAAACTTCTATGTATATTTTCCCGATATGATACACTACAAATGATTACTATGAATGAAGCTATATTTACATCAATATAATGTAAAACTGGAAACATTTTCAAATTGTGGTTTAGGTTCCCTCGATGAACATTTGATGAAAAAGTCTGTGTTTAATGTCCATTGTACATCAATTTTGCTTGTCACTTTGTTAAACAGGACTTGTGCGATCGGATTTATTTTGGCTTTTTACCTAGCCAAATGGAAGATGCCTATACCTCTATGGACGAGAACAAAAGGCTTTCATATTATCCGCTACCCTTTCCATCAAATATATGCTGTAAGTGTTGCTTTCATATTATCAAATGATTTCCGGAAAATCAGGATACAAATACTAAAATCATATTATTATTTTCATTGTTTTTTTATATTTATATATGTTATTATATTAATGAATATTGAAGGCATAGGAAACATTTAATTTCAAATGTGATGAATTTCAATGTTTTATTTCAAAAGTAATCATTATAACTTATGACTTGTTGATTCTATTGGTCTTATTATGGAAGGAAACCGGAGTACCTGTGAAACCACACGTGGTCAGGCAGGTGACCCTTTACCTTTTCACTTCCATTCAGGGAATCGAACCCCCGGACGGCTCGGTTTAAAGGCTTACACATTGTACATTACCACAGCGCCATCCGTCCACCCGTATGACAACTGTATGGCAAGAAATAATGATGGCCTGTGTGCTATTGTCATCATTAGTTTGAACATATTAAGATACACAGCAAAGATTGAGTAAAAGCGTAACAAGCGTAACTATATTTATTTTGTTTTACTACAGACAATATTTCAAATGAAATGTATATCATATTTCGATACAGACCCCGTTTCTCTACCTGCGATTTTCTTTTGATAAGTATTTGTTTTGCTACAGATCCTAATAGCGATCATCATCTCTTGGTTGATCAGCTTCATTATAACTGAGGCAGGTGGTTTCACGGACAATCCGAAGGATAAAGGCTATCAAGCTAGAACAGACGCCCGACTAGACTCTATCAAGAATGCTAAATGGTTTTTCTTCCCATATCCAGGTTAGTGTGGCAAATGAGTGGCAAAGCGATTGGTTTCTTTGAACAACATGCTTTGATGACAGTAGAGCTAATAGGAATGTCACTTTTGTTGTCATCTTGTAACAAATACCTTTAATCCATCTGTCTTATAGAGTAACTGATTAAAAATGATCATATTGATAATAAATGAAAAAAGTCAAGTCTGACAGGTAAAATCTACAATTCATTAATTAATATATAGTTTCTCGATATCATTTTCTGAATGTAAAAAATTGGAGAATGCACGTTACTATCTGTATGATTTGTAATTTCTAAAGAAAAACAATTCAAACCAAAACCAAAAACAAAATAAAAATGTGAAGAAAAAAATCTAGAAAGCCTCTGTTGAAATTGTGCCTATTTTGAAAATGCGCCATACGTGGCTGCTTATATTTCAGATTTTAGATTTATACCATTTGTGAAGATCAAATATCCTTAGGATAATATGGTGAACAAAATCGATATCTGTATAAAAGTATTGAATGTAGAAAGTAGAAAAAAGTTTCAAACAAGACACAATTTCGTAACTTGAAATTATATATCAAGGATATACAAGAGAATGTCATATTTCAATACAAATTTAGATTTAGATACAATAGAGAGAAATCAAAATGAATCAAACTAACTAACGAATACTCACATAATAAGGTGTAAAAACGAGCGAAAAGATCATATCATATTCAATATCGGCTTTAATTATCAAAACAAACATGCTGTAGTAAAAACCAGTTCGTCTGTTGAGGTATTGTTGGATACTTTCTAGTGCGTTAATTCCACTATTTATATGAATAAGTTCAATTATGCGCTAAAATTTGATTTTGCTGAAACGCTTGCGTTGACTTAACATTTAACCGCGAAATATGTTTTTGATTTGCAAAGTGCATGGATGTAGAAAAAGAAAAAGACAATTTCATTGCGTTTTGTTTCAGGACAATACGGAACTCCAACCTTCAGCTCCACCGTCTTTGTCGGTTTTATTATTGCCACCTTCATCTCCATTCTTGACTCCATCGGCGATTACTACGCATGCGCAGCCACATGTCGCGTTCCACCCCCTCCATCCTATGCTGTGAATAGGGGTATAGCTGTAGAGGGATTTTGCACCATATTGTCAGGATTATTAGGCTGTCCCCAAGCCACGACAACCTATGGAGCCAACATTGGGGCCATTGGTATCACAAGGGTACATGAAAAACCAAATGCACCACATAATGCACATGTCCAGTATTTTTCTCTTAACAAAAGAAAAAAAAAAAGAAATGTTGAAAATATCTTTTCGATATTGAACGTTCTAGACACCTTTTCTGAAGACATTGTGAGAACATCACCTCCTAGATCATGTTTATTTGATGATTTGAAGTACCATGACTGCTTTCTAAATTAGAATATTATGAGAACTAATTACAAAAAACTGCGTTGGATGTATTTATTCCAACGCCCACATTTGGCTTTGTTTACTTTAAGCCTACTTGTGGATGAATAAACCTATCGTAACAATCTAAAACAATATCAATTACTTCATTTATTCATAAAAAAACATGATCATTTCCTCTAGACGTATGTTTGAATTAAAAGAAGCAGAGCACTTGCAATGTTTTTTTTTTTTGTGATTTTTTGAAGGTGTCCAGTCGCAGCGCTTTTGTTGTTGTTGGGATAATCTACATCATTTTCGGGGTAATAGGGAAAATCGCGGCGGTTTTTATCACAATACCCTACCCTGTCTTAGGTGGCGCATTAATCATCATGATGGGCATGTTTAACGGAGTTGTGTTGTCCAATCTCGTCTCTGTCGACCTGACTTCCTCAAGGAATCTCGTTATCATGGGGGTATCACTTCTCATGGGGCTCCTTGTTCCACTCTGGGTCAAAACTTATCCCGATGACATATCAACAGGTAAGAACATTTTGAAGAATTTGTATTCTTTAAAAATGCAACATAATCTTTGATTGATTCATTGATTGGTTGATTGATTGATTGAAAACTGCAAAACAGACATATTCTCTCGATTGGGCATAATATGAAAAATATGTAATTCAGGTTTTGTGTGAAATTTTCATAATATAGAAAACTTGTAGCCATTCTTTACTATAGCTTTTTCGTCGTTTTTAAAGGCAAATAATACATGAATATCAGACTATAGGCGTCATAATATGTTTTTAATCTCAGATTTAGGAGCGAATAATAAGCATGTTGCCAAATGACTAATATATGCGTTCTTGTTGCAAGATGCGAGTCCATATTGTTCATTATCGTTGTTCGTAGGCAACGCAGAAGCGGACTTTATACTTAAAGGACTTCTAGGAAATCCAAACTTTTCGGGGGCGATATTAGCATGCTTTCTAGACAACACCGTCCCGGGTAAGTTATCTGGAAATGATAATTCACCATTGTAATATCAAGGACCTGTTTCCATAATCACGGTTTTCGTGCATGAAGTCGTCATCTGACGGATGAACTCATTAAACAGGGTTCCAAAAGACGCAGGTTGATGAGAATTATGGGAAAGTTTTATGGTCGTCTTAGCGATCTCACTGAAAAATATTCTATTTGGAAAATGGAAGTGTTTGGTGTTCATTATTTTGCCTGTTGGTTCCGTTGTTTTATACTTGTTCTCATTTGAGAACGTGACTTTCTTCGATTGATTAAGGTTAACATGGTGGGTGTCGTCGATGAAGCAGGAGACGCCCTCTCTTCCGAAACACCGGGGCCCGTATTCACGAAACCATTATCATGCTCAAGCATAGATTTTATGCTCAAGCAACCTTTTTTTTATAATTCTCCTAAGTCATATAAGATAATACAAATGTTAAATATAAACATTGATTATAACTTTGACTTGAAGTCCTTTCAAAACATTTTTTAAATCTTTGGAAAACTATTTATTAATTTTTAACTTCAACAAGACATAAGGCTTGCGCGCAAAATTCATGCTTGAGCATGAGAACGGTTTCATGAACACTGGCCATGGTTTTATTTACCTTGTACTTATTCAGGAGTCGCCGTGTAAATGTTTCTTTTTTTCCTTTTTTAACCCTGGTTTTATTGAATGGGAATTTGGATTATGAATATGTTGTCATGTTCTTATTATCTTATTATGCGTCTTTTAAAGAAAGAATTCGTCTCACGACCAGATGTGGTCATTGATGGATAAAAAAGTATGATGTGTATCATTATAGTATTAATCCTTTTATTAAAAGGAACATTGGAGGAACGAGGGATCACTGCCTGGCAGCAACAGGGAACAGACGAGTCTGGAGCGACAATAGACTATGTAGAAGGAGTAGAGCTGTACGAAACCTGGCTACCAAGAGCGCTTAAAGAATGGAAAGGTCTAGAATATATCCCTTTTATGCCTACACCAAAGAAACGGAAACGCAGCTTGTCTGGCCAATGGGCACGCAGAAAATCCATTATTGCTGGTGTATCTGACGTGATAGTTTAAAAAGCAATGTTCTATAAACAAATGCAGTTGAAAAGTAAGTAGATTCCGTTCAATAAAAACAATCGCGGATAAGATTGTCTACATAATCAAATCTTGCCTTGTGTCATATTTTGTAGCACGTACTGTAATGAAAATTATAGCAGTTTAAGGAACAAATTTGATATTTGTAGATATTACAAATGCCACTATTAATATTTCAGCTTCAAATGTTCGCAATTTCAACAAAATTCTTGATGCAAAAAGAATGTAGTTTTCATGTAAGTCTTGAAAAAGAATAAGTTGTTCATTTTGTTCTATTTACCTCAAATATAAACAACTTTACAGAATCTCTTAAAATGATAAGCGGTAATCTTTCTGTTTCCAAAGTCGAAGACATCTTGAACAAAATATTTTCTGTATCCTTGTATGAAACGGAAACGAGGACGTAGCATATACATCTTTAACAAAAACCTTAAATTTATTTACAATACCCTATCGATTTGTAATCATAGTTTGGTAATACTAATAACTATGCATTGCGAGATTGGTAGATTTGATGGTTTATAGAGAATTATAAATGTAAAATTATAATATACTTGATGATTTTTCAACCAGTCGATAACAATAATAGCATATACTTGCAAATCTGATGATTAATTGATTTCAACTTCTCAGAAGAGTAGCGATATGCGTTATGAACATTATTTGATATCAAATTCGTATGACTTGGTTCGAAGCATATGTTTTCAGTATGTAAACAAATTTCATTTTACACAAACATTTTTTTCTTATACATAATGCCTAAATCTTGCTCAATATATTTTCTATAAAACATTACGAGCATTGCTGTTTTGTTTTGTAAAAAGAAGTAGAATAGATAACATATTCTACATGTTACTGCAAACAAGAAATAAGAAGATAAGCATACCAGAGTCCTGAAGTGAACATTTTGAAGACATTATCTGTGATTATTTAAAACTGGCAATCCGATAGGACTAGCTTACATGCATTTTAGACGTCACGATGGCATCCGGCTAATGAAATGATGTAATGTATACGACTCAACACTACGATAAAAACCTGACGTCCAGGATAATAGGATTATACTAGCATCGGGTGATTCATCACACTGAAAAAATATAGCGTTAAAATACTGTAAAGACATGGCATCCATCAAATTGACGCCGAAATTGTTATTTCCTTGACCATCTAACGTACAATACCAGGTTTGATATTTGAAATATGATTAAGGAGACACGTATATACGCGTATTTAATTATTGTATGGTTATCACATACTCTCGTTGGGAAACAGTCTATTAACTTGTGCGATATACTGAGAATACGTGGTCGATGTCTTAAAATATAACGTATTTTGGCGAGGCTGAAGAAAGACCAGAGTGACAACTTTTTCTCAAAGCAGTTTCATCTTTTCTCTATAGTAAACTGCAGCTTTTATTTTAGACGCTGAACATGCATTCCGTGAATCCTGCAATATTCATTTCAACAAACCTTCCAATAGTTTGTTACTTTTATTTACCTGACATTTACATTACTCGAATGAATGCCTGGTTGTAGGCTACACGCCAAAATGTTTGCACCACGCGGAAATACATGTATAGTTCCAAACTTCAAGGGATATAACAGCGATTTTATAGAAGTTTATAACTAGTCTTGTCTGTTAAAAGAAACAAAATCGATAATTCAAAGAGACATTTATACTCTTAACGTAATACATCGGTATATCTGATTGTCATTCTGTAGAATTAATTCACGTGCCGAAATAGAGATGTCTTCAATTGCTGTCGAATACAGCAAAACCGTATGTGTCAGGTGTATTCCAAGAGTGACGTGGCCTGTTGCAGCGTGAAGTAACATCCCAAAGTAATCGGAAGACTAGTCAAAACCTAGATGGGGAGATGCACTGGCCCAGTAATTCTAGAAAGTATGCAATTTCCAGAACAAAGTCAAGTACATGTATATTTTTATATTCCTTGCCGTGACACTGTTAGAAAGAATGAATGCATGGCATGCAGGCTACGGCAAAAGTTCATGTTGTGATAAGTGTCCTCTGTTATTGAGGTTATCTATGTACGTGTATAATTATAAATTACCTACTTTGACACATTTTAACAGTATATATATATATATATATATATATATATATGTATTCTGGATATATAAAACAAATTCCATTAAAAGATGTTTGAAATTATATACTTGAAATAATTCGGAATTAATAAATCACGCATTCAGTCGAAATCAAACATCAGTCTTTCCGACACAGCTTCATATAACTTATTCATAAAAAAATATTTCTAACACCAAAAATTACTGCAAACGTACTTATTTCACATCTTATTTTAGTGCACTACGTAGTTAAACAGATCCGCAGTATCTGTAAGAAGCATACAATACACTGCACAAACACTTACCATAATCATAATTTAAACTAAATGTTACAAAAAATAAAATACGTACGTTTGTAGTACCTCAATTATCATTTACCCTTGATACCTTCCAAAAAAGTCTTTAGCACACACCAGTTACATATTATTAAATACTGCTTTGACACATTGAAAGCAAATGATTGGTCAAATCACATGCATGTACATATATCCCGGTAAAAATTATAAATATAATATTTCAAGTAATACATTTCCTATAAACTTCTCACTCTCCATAAACAATAAGGCACTTTTCAATCTTATCAGAAAAAGAAACTAGAAAGAAATCAAACAATCAAAATATTTAACAATCTATAAAAGCTTACATTTTTATGAAAATCAAATCTTTATTTTTTATCTATGAGAATTTTGCTCCTTATGACTACTTTAGCAACAACTTTAAATTCCATTTCACTTATTAAATTGATAACTAACAAATCACCTGTATCAAAATAGTAAACATTCCTCATTCCATTATGATCTTTTATCATCATCAATAACTTATCCAATTTTATGATGAATTTGGTAGCTGGAAAATGACGATTACACAACTGATATTTCTACTCACCGTTTTTTGCATGTGTGTAAGTTACAGTATTATAATTTTTTGATAGACAGGTTGGTGACTTATTTGGAACTTTTGTCAAAAAATGGAACTTTTACTTGACATTTGAGAATTTAAGTACATTCTGACAAGTAACATAGAAATATCCTGATATCAAAATCCAAGATGCCTCCAATGCAATCATTTCACCCTCAAAAGTGAACAGGTTTCACTAGCTACAGAGACAAACCACATCTATCTGGTAAAACTTGATCAAGATCCTGGGAGTACTTCTCAAGAAATGGCAATAACAACAAACTGTAGGTATCAAAATTTAGAAGATAAGCATGTTAGAATTTCTATTGGTCTTTTTATAAGTCTGAAAGTTGAACAAGCACAAACTAGGGATCAAGGCATACCTGCATTGGAGATTTAAGGCAGTGTCATCAAGCTATTTCTCAGATATAGCAATATTATTCTGCAGCTGTACAATTCCAAAACAACATCCTGTAATCTGGAACTATGCATTTGTATCAGAATTGTTCCTTCTTGTTGAAGCTACATACTCAATCTCCATCTGAAACAATACTAAACTAACACTAGGGTGAAAATCATCTCCAAATCAATTGCATGCATCTTGGATTTGATAACTATCGTTCTCATTACACTCCATAACACTATTCACACAAGGCAATAACATTCATTGGAAAACATTAAAGGATCTAAATTAAGGTAAGATTATTTCTAAAATGAGCAAGATACCTTAAGCAGAAGTTTGAAAAGTCGTTTTTCATTTTATCTGAGAATAACAAAGATAATGGAATTTTTCAAACCAAATCTGGTTAAATCACCTTCAACTATATCTGAGAAGTAGTCTTTTCAAGTGCAAGGTCCAGTTTCCATGGCCTCTTCCTTTGATCATACCCACAATTAATACAATGTACAATATACTAAATAATTTAGCTTGTACAGAACAAAAACCAAAGTAGTTGTTTAAATGGAAACAAAAGGACAGATCACTAGCTGATGCATTTGGACAAAATATTTCTCAACATCTCAATAATTAAATGAAATAAATTGTATATTAATACATGTTTACCGCCTCAGAAACAAAAGGCATCAAAGGGCCTGTAGAGCTAACTTGTTTCTCTATTTGTATGATTAAATAAGCATTTGAAGCTGAAGCGTTCATGTTAACATAGAAAAATCAATGAATTCTTAGATACATCAGCTCAGGGAATTACCATAGTAATACTTGGTGGCAAAAATGGTGGAAAACAACTGAAAGTCTACTGTTTCCTGTTATACTAAAGTACTTTGTTGTCCATTCATATTAATAATCAAAGAATGATGCTGTTGTAACAAATAATCAAGAAATAAACACTACAATTCAATGACAGTACATTGTATTTCTTTGAAGAAAAAGAAAGTCTGTAGGAATATATCTTTAAAGATAATGCAAGTTAGTAGTAAGTTTGTTTTCAATGTGCATCACTAATACACTGTGTCAATATCAAGTGAACAGACCTCTTCCCTCCATCCTTTCTCTTTTTAAGAACATTTTGATTGTTTAAAACCAAAACATTCCTTTTGTTAATTTTTATAACATAATACTGATAGTTATACTGTGAACACTTTAACTTTTGTGAATACTTTTTTTTCTGTTGTTGTCCTCAATATATGAACATATAAGGCACAGGATATTACAAGCAAACCACACACCTCATCCTTCGGTCAAACTTGGATATCAGAAAATAAACAATTCTTAAGGGGACATAACTCTATACAAGTATAGCTGGACAGGTCAACCAATTTCAATATGCAATAAAACTGCATCAAAAATATCACTAACATATAATAATCCATTATGGCAATTGGGCAAAACATGCCATCCATTCAAGGAGAAACATTGGTCCTATATTTGTTTTCTATATTTAATCCCTTTGCTATTTCCTGCATTTATCATCCTGTGAACAGCCAAGGTCCTCTTGTGACTTGGTTTCCTTGAGGTAAGTAGCTGGTGGCTTCCTCACTTAATAACATGCAGGAGACCCACCTGATGCCATCAAGAGGATAAAGGGCCTTGCCAAAGAAAATAACATCAGCACCAATAGTCAATTTCTCAGCTTCCTGAGAAATTCATACCACCATGGATTGGCAGCTCAGATTAATTCACTAGACATTATGTAGGCCACCGCTTTACCAAGTGGACAGAATCACTAAAAGCACAGAATGGTCTCTAATAAGACAGAGCTTCTGAAGATACACAAAAAATACTGAACACTGTTATCAAATTTTTTTTTACCTAATGTTGACATGACACAGAATGTTTTCTAAGGATGTATGCCAAGATAACTGCCCTACGTGGGGATACATTCCAAAATTTTTATGAAAATGACAGCAATTATATGAATTTCTGTAGATATGCTTGTTCACTGCAACAAAAATATACTTTTTAAAATGTTGCATGTACTGTAGATGCTATGTTTAAATAAATCAGAAATCAATTCCTGAAAGATACCTGGTAATGCCTATGCTATAATATGGCTGATCTTTGTGACTGCTACATACACAGAAAATATATGTGGCAGGTATTTTCCAACAAAGGCAGTAACGGTTGCAGGATAACTTGCTGAAGACTGAATCAACATTACTCAATGAATAAATATTAACATAGTCTGACATCACAAGTTACATCCATTTCTGATACAGTGATGGACGTAAACAAATGCATTTCCCATAATTTTTTATTCCGAAAAAAAGATAACAAATCTATTTTCTTGGTTTTTGATTTTGCTAAATGGGTCCGCTTGTATATCAAAATATATACATAGCATATATTTCAAACATTTAGAGTCAATCATTCATCATTAATATATTGCACAGAGAAACAAATTTCAACAGACTCCATTCCTAAGTTTTAAATCAGATTTCTCACCGACTGATACATTATCTTTTTTTTCTTCATTCTCTCCCTTTTCATCTTCACATCCTTCCACTTTATCATCATTATTATTGTCTTTAGAAGCACTGTCTGTTTTTTCTTCCACCTTTACATTTCCCATTTCATTTTCATCCTGTTCTTCTTCTTCTTCTTCATCCTCATCATCTTCTTCATCCTCATCATTTTCATCTTCCTCTTCATCCTCATCATCCTCTAGTGTTGATTCTTCCTCAATTTCTTTCAGTTTTTCAAACTGATTTTCAAGTTCTTCTCTCTCATTTTCACTGTTTCCTACCTTAATATATTCCAAGCCCTGAATGAAAAATTACACCATGTAGAAATGATATTGTATTTGTATACATGTATACATTACAAGGAAAAAAGTACAAGCTTACACCTATGAAGATATCTATCTACTTTGTATCTTACTTGATGTCACAATACATCCAATGTACAGTAATCATATCTTTGGATTATACTTTTTATTTGCAAATCAACAAACTATGCCACAGAAATGAGGGAATTTGTTACCAATTTATGTATGTGTTTATCATCTGACTTTTGAAATCTTGTAAAAAAAAAAAAAAAAAAGAGAATGAAAAAATGAAAATAGATATAGAATGATATTTCATTGAGTCTCTAATAATCTTGATCAACTAAAATGAAAAATTCACAACACTTGTTTTATAAATCTCTAAAGAACTGAATCTTGCACACATGTATTACCAGTATCATATTCAACTTAAGATAAACTTTTTATTCTACGTCAATTGCGAAGTAAGTTATTCTGAATTATATTAATCGATCTTGTTGGCCCAGATGGAAGCATGCTTGCGGTTTAGCTGTGGGATGAAGCCAGAGTACCCAGAGTAAACCCACATGTTCGGTCAGGTGACCCCATATCTCTTCACATCCATTATAGGAATGGAAAACCCAATGTCTAGGTGAAGGAAGTGTGTTACCACTGCACCATCTGACCACGAAATCATATCATAATATATAGTTTTTCCCCATATAATATATTCACCTACATTTTATTTTTAGTATGTAAAGTTATAATTTGGACATTAATATACTCCTGCATTTGTTGGAGAACTATTTAATGTCAAAAGCTGTTGATAAAGGCAAACTTATTATTGTACACCTAGTGACTGCTACATTGTTATCACATTCAGATTAATAAACCTGATGAAAAAAAAAACAGTATAGAACTATTTTGACAAATACTGACCTTCCAATGTGCAGGCTTTTCCACAATACAGGTATCTCTTAGATCAAATTTGGTCAGTTTTGACAAGGCCAAGATGGTGTCATCATCCACATTCATGATAAGATTGCCCTTCATAGACAGGTTAGTGAGAGCACTAAGTCCTAACACAAACACTGGAACTTCTTGGAACTGGTTGTGATCTAGATTAAGATATGCTAAACTGGGCATTGTTTCAAGTTTTTTAGGTAATTGATCAAATTTATTTTCAGCTAAACTTAACCACATCAAATTAGAAAGGCCATCGAATCCTTTAGGAATTTCTGAAATGAAATTTTCTCTTAAACTTAATTTTCTGAGTTGTTTTAATCTACACACACTTTCTGATAGATTTGTAAGCTGACATCCTACAAGCCATAATTGAGTTAATGAACACAGCTCTCCTATTTCATCACCCAGAACTCCAAGTGGGTTGTTGGATAAGTTTAGGTATTGGAGGTTTGTCAGAGATTTTATTCCCATTGGTAACATTGTCAATCTATTATTATTCAATACTAGCTCCTCCAGAAGAATTAATTTTGTGACCTCAGACGGAGGCATCAGGATTTCATTGTCGTTAAGCATCAGTTTACGAAGACTGGAAAGCTTCTGTATATTACTAGAAACAACTTTTATACTCCGATGACTTAGATTTAAAACTTCTTTGTTTAATTTCTCTGCTTTCTGGATAATTTCTTCAATTTGTAATAAATCCATACTCCTGTAAAGAAATAAAGGAAAGACGTGGAAGAATAAGTTTAACTGAAAAAAAAAATGCTCCTGAAACATACAATTTGTATATAAGAGGTGGTTCTCGGATGATACTTACGTCATTTATCTAAATATGATAAAATTTGGTTTAATCAATTTGAATTTCTTAAATATTTTCACTCAAGTACACACACCTTGTCATGCTGTTTTAGCGTTTGAAATTGAAGAAGAAGAAAAATACATGCACATTATGTAGTTTGCATTTGTATAAAAGTCTACATATAACACATATTATATACCAAATTATTAATTATGAAAATGAATAATTGAAATTATTACAGTAGGTTTTTGTCGAAGCATCTCGTTAGTGACAGTCTATAGCCTACATAATTCGTAAGAATAACTGTCCGTAAAGTTTTTTGACAATCGACAATCGGACACCTAGACTATATTACACATATACGTATACATATACCATGTACACATATGTATTAGAAATTCTTATCGTGTAGAAATATAAAAGCTTCTAAGCGTTCGAATGCATTCGTGGTTTCAAGTCCACTAAGAAAAAAAAACATCGTGTATGGGACCCTACTGATCTCATTACCTTCAATGGTTTTTCGTTCGTCGTTATCATGACTGTGTCTGGCTTTACACTTTTATCGGCAATAGGATTATTGGTCCATAACAAATCTTGAAAGTGAAAACTGAGCGTCACAACTACCATGAGAACTGAATTCCGCTTGAGTGTTCTCTAGATTTATCATAGACACTGAGCTAATACAATTCGTTCGGAAGAAAAAAATTCTTACCTCCATGCACAAAAGAGTTCCCTGAGATGCTGCAATGGAAGATGGAAGTGGTCTACTTGCTGATATTTCAATGTTGTGTGTCCCTTTATTTTGTCAGTTGTAGACAACAAATACCAGACGAACCGGGTAACTATAACATGTAATTGTAATGTCTAATCACATGGTTAAACATGACTGTATAATACATATACTTTCCCATTATCACATCAATTCAGACACCTGTCATATTTGGTGATGGACTTGCACAAGTCCAAGTTTGAAGGTTTATAATTGGAATTCAGTCTAGAAAACCTTTGGTACTCTTAAGCAAAAGTAGATTTTAATGGTGTGAAAACTTTATTTGTTGATCATGTATGTTAGTACAGGACATATGATTAAACTTTTATTTGTTTGTTTATTTTTGTTTTTTTCAGATTATAGTAAAATAGAATATGGTGGAATATTACACAGAATAGATGAGAAAGTTTCAAGTGAAGACAAGGACTATGTGGCAGTTATTGAAGTAAGTCATTTAAATAGTCTTTGTAATTATTTTACCATATTTCTATGTCATGTTTGTGCAAACATCATGATAACATTTTTCAATGAAGGGATTACAATAACTGATAGTGTTAGGGCTGTTCATTTAAGTTCTTTTAAAAAAATCACTACTATTTATGAATATTATCTACACATGTATATGGTACTCAACTACTTTATAAAGTATATACATTTATATTTTGTTATCTCATATTTGAGATGCTAATTTTTTCCAAAAAATTTAAACAATGTATTATATGGATAAAGTTTTAAATACAATAATAGTTTAGTATTTGTGAAATACACTGTAGGTACATGTACATGTGTATTTTGATATAAAAAGTGTTTATGAAACATTCTAAGATATATAAAGTCATTACAAGAAAATGATAGAAAGAATTATGTTGAAATTCATTTTGTACTAAAAAAGATAATAAAGAAATATTGTAAGAGAATCAACACTCCAGTTGTATCAAATTGTGGCATTGAATGAATATATTATAGCATAATTATAAGTGCAAATTATATCTAGAAATAAAGGATCATCAACATCCATAACAATAGTGCAGTGGTTTTTAGTCGTTGTAAATCAGCTTCTATAGGCATGCATGACTCAGGTAAGTTGGAAAAGTTTAAACAACTAACATTTCCCGGCCAAAAAAAAAATACTAACAACAAACTTCTTCAGCCTATGTTAGTAAGTATATTTTAACATTATAATATAATATGTTTTATGCTGTTATATAGTCAGTAACATTTTAAGTAGGTAACTAGAAAAAAAAATCAGTCATTATGATTTATTTGATTCAGGAGTATGGTACAAGTCATTTCTAGAACATGGGAAAGAAACAGCGAGCAATAATTGCTGTAATTTTTTCCACAATTTTGTAATTAATTATGCTCTTTTTCACTTTCTAGTTTTCCTACATCTTTGCAAAGCAAAGGTTCCCTTGGTCGGTGCCAACTTTCCTGAACCAAACTAAAACCTCTGATATCCAGAAACTGGTAAGTATATATTGCATATTAAAATGTATGTAAAACTAATCAGAATTTGTCTAATTCATTTTTAAAATCCCTTACATTTAGTTATCCCAAGTGAAATGCATAATTGTCTGACGTTGCAAGATCAAGAAAGACGTCTACATGTCTTTTGTATTGACAGTGGTCAAAGCTCAGTACGACTGTGTTATATTGGTAATAGGGTCAAATGTGAGTATGGCAGTGTTGAATTGATAATATGATTAAAGTCAGTACTGTAGTGTTGTATTGATAATGAGGTGAAAGGTCAGTATGACAATCACAGTATTGCACTGATAAAATGATCAAAGATAAGTGGTGCAGTGATTTATTAACATCAGGGTCAAAATAAGGTATTTGTTACAGAAAAAATGATATGACAATCAATTGTGTACAAGTAATTTAAGGACCGGATAATATTGCATTAAAATTGACAATTTATTGATACTCTCTGGTTTTTTAGTTATTGTCCTTTTTTGTTGAGACAAAGACTCTTTTGTTGCTCCCCTGGGCTTATAACAAGATTAATACAGTATTATAGCTATAGTTTTCTTATTTCTACAGGAGTTGGTGTATTCTATTGATGAAGAAAATCCCCTCTACCAGGAAGACTTGCTAAAAGATGGACATGATGGAGTGTCACCTCTACATCTCATTCTTTTTGGATTTCTTTACAAGTTCACACTTTACTGGGAGAAACAGGAGACAGGCTTTATTCATCAATTTGCAGTGTCCATGTTTCCAAAAGAAGTCTTCAGTATTTACTCTCACACATATTTTGATCTCCAGTCACACACAGAAGGATTACCACCATCAATGCCCTGTGGAACAAGTCCACAACCGATGAATTGCCAATCAGATGTCTTGTTACAAAAAGATGAAGGTAGTCAGGAATATTTTCATAAGGATGCTAGCCATTGGCTAAAAGATTCTGATAAAATGTCAGGATCTGGTATCAACTTCAAGAAGGAACATCCATCAAAACATGATTTTACAGTGATGAGCTTCAACACATGGAACATGAATTCATTATCAGGAAAGGATAAACATTATGTGAAAAGAATTGAATATTTTGGAGAGGTTTGTTTCACTGTCAAGTACATTGTGTTTATCCTACAAAATGTTTCAATGAAATATAGTAGCATTAATCTGATATATGCCCTTCAGATAGGACGAAGTCCACTCTTCCGTATTTGAAATTTTCCTGGGCATATATTTTGTTATGAAAACCATAGAAAATGTATTTATAAAATCTTGATATTGCTGTTATATTGATATATTATATGTAGAAGTTGTTGCCATGGTTTGCATTGATTTATCTACATTTTGAAATGTCAGGATATATTCCATAAAAAAAATCCAAGTAAATAAAGAGACCTTCCATATATGTATAGCATGTTAAATATCTCAGGTTTTTATATGACAACTTGGGAAAAAATGTGTAGGGGTGATTTGTCCCTGGATTTGTAGGTACATGTAGATAGGAAATGAAAGTAATTGTGATGTTAGTATAGAATTAACTCTATACTTCATACTTTTTTTATTTGATACTTTATGTACACTAATTAATGTTTTTCTGAAAATTTAGGTGGTTACTAGAAGTACACCAGATATTATAGGTTTCCAGGAAGTCCGCTATGAGTACTCCAAGGGGGGACAACTTGGTCCAAATCAGGTTCAACATCTTGCAGACATGCTGGAGGGATATCAGGCAATTGTTTCCTATTGTTTTAAAAAAAAAACTGATTAGCGAGTAAGATATATTGTGTTTTCTGAACCTGTTTTTTGTGTGCTTTCTTAATTTGTATTTAAACACACCTGTCAAGTCTCCCTAAGTTGGCTGATCAGAAGTCTCCAGTTCATCTCCATTTACTTAGATCTCCAATATAGATTTTTGACTCAAACTGGAGAGATCTGGTTATAGAGTACTACAGAATATAATAAGATATTTAAGCACAAATGTAATTTAATCTTGGCAAAAGATTGCAAAAATTGGCAAAAGACTGTCAATCTGTAGGTCTCCAATTTTCCTGTTTTAAGCCCTTGCCATATATATTGTTCAAATTTGTATTTCAATCTTCTTGTCTCTTTTGTGTTTCAGTTTGTATTTCAACCTGGCCAACTGCAGCCGAACAGTTTGTATGAGGGTCGCACAGAGGAGGGAGTGGCCATCTTCTCCAAGTATCCCATCATGTCAGTCAACCATTTACTTCTTTTCAGGTCTGTTTTCATGTCTCACATAAAAGTATGACAGCATTTTTTGTTTGTAACTAATGACATGCAAATTTACATGGAAATTTTACAAATAGTTTTCCAAATATACTGTACCAATTTGAGGCTTACCAGGGATAACTGTATTTAATTTAAAGGAAAATTCTGCGCAAGTTAGGATTTCATAAGATGATTTTGAAGAAATCTGTTCAAAATCATCTACTTATGTTCTTATGGAAATTAAATATTTCAATTTACCATATATTTAAATAAATGTATGATATCTAATTTGCGGAAATTCTTTTAAATATATAGCTAGTTCGATTGCTTATAAGTCAAATAGGGTGAAACTATTGTGTTAATTATAAAATCAACAGACATTAAGAATAAAGGAGAAATAAAACGGTAACCCCTGCAGAAATTTTGGTGAACAGCATACACACTTGTGTATTTATCCAACACACGGCATAAAATCTATGATCCAGTAACCTTCTAGTTCTGGATTTTCTGATGTGTTATATTTAGAGGGTTTGACTGGGATTATTCCAACCAATTCTGCCTGTCCAAACTGACAACAGGAGAGACTTTTTGATTCTAACAATAGTTTTAAAAGTCACTAGAATGAGTTTTAAAAAATTAACAGAACAGCCATAATCTCCCAGTTATAAGAGGATTTACCTAGGGCTGTTCCAGGATTCTAGAATAAATCACTTCTATCCATGAATAGGCTTTCTGCTTATTATTTTTAAGCAAATTATCAATTCCATGCATTATACCTCTTAGCAACACCTTAAGTCCTCGGGTGAAATAGATGCTTTACCGCAATACAGGAGGGGTATGGTGGAAAAACCTGATTGAAGAAAAATGTTTTCACCTATACTATATGTTCAGAGGTAGAGTGTATATATTCTGCACATCACATTCATAGATCATTGAAATAAATTGTTTTTAACTTGATCTCATAGATTAAGGAAACTAGTACTTTTTTCCAGTAAAAAGTATGGATGTCATATATATCTTATAATAAGCCCAAGAGGTCAACCAATGATGCCATACTCAAGTCAGAAATTATTACAGGACAATAACCCCAAGGGGGTCAATACTGAAGTTCTCACACAAAGTCCAGGATTGGGCTTTTAAGACACTTAGCTGGCAGGAATCATTATATTACTTACTCAAAGTTAAGGGGTAGGCTTATTACAGGGCAATGAAATTGCTTTAGTATATAATGTTACTAAACAGTCGTATAGAATATTGCTTGTCAAGCTATGTGTAGTATATACATGGGCTTATTGCTGGACAAATAGGTTAAGTTGACTCATTTCAACATTGTCATAGTAGATACAGCTTTAATACATGACATGTTGCTATCATGAATTGCCCAGCGTCATGCGCTGTCCGTCGCCTGTAAACACTACTCATGCTTAACACCTGGTTGGATTTCAACCAAATTTGGTCTAAAAAATCATTTGGGATGAAGCATCATTTCTTAAATTCAGAAAGTTGATTTGACCCCTAGGGACTTAGGGATGGGACTCCAAAATGAGAAGAATTTCTACAAATTCTGTGTTTTTTCCATCCATTCATCTATTGTCAGATGACCATTGAGGGCTATGACCCTCTTGTTAATTGCCTTTTGAATGTCTGTGTTGACTATATACCAGAAAGACTTACCTATAATATTGAAACAATCTGAAATGATTGAATCTGTTTATTCAGGAACAGAAGCAATAGTGCTGACTCTCATCAAAGAGTATGTCTGCATGCAGTCATCTCTCATCCTTCAGGAATACAGGTATGTTCAGTATTCAGTTAAATTTTGGTGAATTAAAAGTTACATCAGTCTTTCTACCATTTTATACCTGTTGCTGATTTCAAAGAGGAAAATATTTCTAAAGAAAAGTGGAAAAATAAGTATGTCAAACTTGTTTACCTTTGCTCAAATTCATTTAATTTTTTTTTTCACTTCAGATCAATATTTTAAATACTCATCTCTCCCTGAGTCATGAAGCCAGGGAGAAATCAGTTGTTGCAATATGGCAATATGCTGAAAAACTCCAGGGACCAGTCATTTTTATGGGAGATCTGAATGCAGAACCTGATGAACCTGCTATCAGGTACATTTACATATATTAAATATTTGCAATTATTAAAGAAATGAAACTTAAGACCTGTGTCAGATAATGAATGTGTTCAATGCTCAGCCCTAGTGTTTTATCCCCTGTGGTTTTGATTTTAAACAAATTTACACATCAGGATAATGTTTTGTAGGTACAAATGTATCAGTTTTTTCTAGAAAGTTGTTTATCTCTATCAGAATAATGATCTGTGTTGATCACATGGATCTTGCTTGAATGAAGCATTTCTGTTGAAAAACGTTTGATGATATTAGAAATACTATTATTGTTTGTTATCTTTCTTTTGATTGTCTAGTAAAGCTGAATAATGATTCCTCAAAGGGCAAGAAAGAAGAAAAAATCTTCTGTAAACAATAAATCATGGAGCAAATTGACTAAAATGTACAGAAAAAAATTATTTTCCTAAGCTAAGTGATTAATGAAGAGAGAGCTCTCAGATACTTGATTCTATGGCTACATAGTGAATATGAAATAAGGAAATATTTAATCATATATCACACATAATTAACATGCAAATTTATTATTATGATTGATTGAAATTCAGGATTTGAATATTGCAATAATATCTTTAAGAATAGCTCCAAATACTTCTGTATTTATTCCAAGGGGAATAACTCATGATATGAATGACCCAAAAGATTTAGTTTAATCAACATTTATTTAATATTCAACAATCTAACACATACATTTATACATATGAGATGGGAAAACAAACTTAGAGCTTGTATTATAAGCATTTCTTATGAATAGTAATAGAAGTAGGTCAGTGTATCAATTACCCAGAAATTAATTTATTAGAGGAAACATATGATTTGACACTTATATATTTATTTACAGATTTTTACGAGGAGAGGTTTCCCTTGAAAATCAACGACCTACAGATTTTGTAGATGTTTGGCTGGAGCTTCATGGCCAGGAGACTCCCGGTCTTACCTATAACACACTGAAGAATGAGCTGTCCAAGCGTGTAAGGTTTTATATGGAGTGTTCTTGATATTTGTTTCATTTCCACAAAAAAGATAAGAAATGACCTTGAAGAGCAAACCCATCCATACTTTAGGATCAAACTGTTAGGTTTTTGCTTTAGAATTTATTGACATTTGTTTTACATTGAATCAATTATACCACAGAATATCATTAAAATGGACAAACCAGTGTCTAAATAGACACCCACTCACACACACCCACACACACGCATACACACAGATATATATATTATACTTATAAATATGAAATTGTCTTTAACTGTATCATTTAGTGACGTGATACCTTATAGGAAGTAACGTTATTAGTTCCCTCACTAGTACTATCAATAAGGTCATAACGTTGTTACCAAGTCATTAAACAATTACCTAAAGTTTGCTACTAAGCCTAAAAACCTTAGTAAATTACTGTATTGATTTTACCTTTATATTATATACATGTATTAATAACCTTTAAATGAAGGCCACTTGTTCAGGGTCCCTATGTAATATTATTGCTCTGACTGAAACTGTATATAAAGACATCCTATGTAATATTATTGCTCTGACTGAAACTGTATATAAAGACCTCCTGTCTGTAAAGATCCCTTTTTTTGCTCAGGTTCCCAATATGAAATCATTATTGTAATTGAAACTGAATATATTGAAAAACGTCAAAGACCCTGTTTCTTTTCCCAGCATGCTAATGTTGTAACATTGTTGTAAATGAATCTATACATATAGACAACCTGCCTAAAAAGGTCACTTTTCTCTGCTCCCTTCGGTGACCTATGTAGACAGGTTATATTTTTGGTACAATTGTATTGTATTTGTTGTTTATCTTTATTCTAGATAATATTAACCCTAATATACCAAAACAATTTGCAAGATAAAAAAATATGTAATTATATAAAATCAAATTATCAGTATGTTTTTTTTTGTAGATTGATTACATCTTTGTAAAGAAGTCTAAAGATATACAGATTGCTGAAGTTACGACACCAGATGACAAAAAAAGAGGGTATGTTTATATACCTATTGTATATACATGCATTAAAACCATCAATTATACATAAATGACATGGTCTTAAAGAATGCACACTTTTAATGGCCATGAAATGAAGGCTTCACCCATTTTCCATTAATTCAAGTTAATGACCATGAAATCTACTGGCTGTAGTTGTATCCGTCTAAAGCAAGTAATTTAATGACTGTTTCACCATTATTCATTGATGAACTTTACTCAAAGAGTTGAAATCTGAATCATATTTATGCTTTAATATTGGAATTCAAAAATAATATCAGATAACTATTTGTAAAAAAGGTGAAAAATAGTAGTAGCGAATGAAATAAAAAATCATAGCTCATTTTGTTTTGCAGACACAAAGCTGCTTCAGACCATCTACCAGTGTTTGCCAATTTTACTCTGTTTACTGCCAACACACGACCATGGTCCTGAATGTATTCACCATACAGTTGATGCGTAATTAGACATTTTCAGTGTCAACCATATTAGAAGCTATTTGTCTTCTTACTGGCAACCATATTAGATCAGATTGTCGGGTTTTTAATTTTCATTTCAAGCTGTGGATCACAATAAATATCTGGGGTAGCTGTGAGTACTGTTTTTACCTGAAGGTGGATATGCTAAGTGTTGTGTCCATTACTTACAATGTACATATGTATTTGTGGGTTTGCAATACTGTTTAATACTATGAAATGTGGTCATTTTTGAGGGGTCACTTTTTGACTGTTTTTAGGAGGGAATGAAATCATGAAAACAGACTTCAAAATAAAATTAATAAAGGAAAAAAAGATATTGCTTCCATGAAAAATATATTCATTTTGCTTGAATCATTTGATAACACTCTATAAAATGAAAAAAAAACAAAAACAAAAAACTTTACATTGTCTGGTGGGAGAGAAAGTAATATTTCTTTTTTGTTTTAGGTAATTTTATGGCACTTCAGTGTTACAAAACGTACAAATGATTGAACGAAAATACAAACATTCCACTTTAACATTGAGTTAATTGAATTTGAATGATATCTTCACCCACAACCAGTTTTTACTATTATCTTGATGTATTTTAAAAATGTTTTTTTTTAAATTTGTTATTACATATACAGACATGTTGTACGTTACTTGATCAATTATTTGAAATTAAATTTTAGTTAAAAGACTTGTTTTGAACATGATTTTTATGTCGTTGCCTTGTAATGGGAGTAGGGAAAGTGTGGGAGATCAGCTAATGTTCCCCATTGGTTCGTCCATACATTTATGTCATGTCACCGGGGTTGCCATTGACTGATCAAAACTCATATTTGACAGCTTTTTCAAATTAATCTAGGGGTTTTGCTTACGTGCAGAGAGTTGGAGACTGTTTCACATACATTTTCTAGATTTTATTTTAAAATGTTTTCTTTTTCATGGATGGTAAGTCAAATGATTAGTGACACACGGTTAAGAAGTATGTAAAGGGTATGGGTTTGATGTCCCAATACCTGGTATTGTCTATGACAATTGTAAGAGTATTTTCAAGCAGTTGATTCCATATTCAAGGGTTTGTTCCCAATACCACGATTTTCTTGCTTGATTTTCTTGCTTGGTGTCGACAACTGACAAGGTTGATGTAGATGATGAAAAATAGAATTAGTCATCATAATGGTCGTATTGTTGTTGTCTAGCCTTTATTTAGCAACCTGACATTACTTACTTGCAACTGACATTTTTTTTCTTTTTTTTTTTTTTGACTTTTCAGACGTCGCTGTGTAAGTCTTTCTGTTCTTAATATTTTATCACAGTGTCATTAATCCTGCATGCTTCATTGATTTTGAGTTTGAATTAAGATTCTTTTGAAATGTCGTATTTTCTGTGACGTTTCTGAAGTTATTAAAACAATAAGATGTCATATAATATTTACAGTCGTTAAAATAATATTTGTTAGCAACATTTTCTCATCTATAACGGCCGTAGATGTCCTAGTTAACGACACAGTTCAGTGTTGATATTTATGATCCGTAGACATATTGCCGTTGGGACGAGCCGATTTTGAGTTTAATTAAACTAAAATAGATTATAATTGACAGTGTAATTAGCCAAGTGGGACAGTCAATTTGATGTTATTTCATTCATTGATGTGATTTACGATGCAATAAATCCTCTCTTCGATTAACCTGTGTAGTAGCGATTTCCGTACACATGTGTATGTATACGATTATTATAAATTATTTAACAGAAGAAATTTACATAAACCACGTGTATATGCATTTTAGAGGCAGTTTAAGATGCTTTCGTTAAAGGGGCATATGCATTCGTTGACACGCTTTTAGTTTATAGACAAAACTAAAGCGAAAACGTGCATTTTATAGAGTAGTGAAAATAGTAACTATACATTATTACGGCAAGGTCTCAATCTTATCTAAAGAAATTAAATTATAAAACAATTTAAGATTTTAATTCCGCCCGAAGTATAAAGGTTACCGGCAGTCCGACATAAATAGACAGTGTTTATTTCCATGTTAATGTTACATCATCACTGATATTCAGCCTTCATAGTATGTACATTTATTGTAGATTGTAGAAGTCATAACAATTATGCAATTTATAGAAACGTATAAGATAAATCTCGGGTAATCAATAACATATTGTCGTACCATCAGTATCCTATGTTTCACCATCAAATCTCGTTCATTTGTAACATATATACAATTATCCGAAGAAAAATTTCACAAGGTAAAGTAACATTTTCTTGGATCTGCTTGTGTAAACTGTTCATTTGATAGAGAGAACGACAGATCCTACCAAACTGTATTTTCGATTTCATTTGGGAATATACTAATTTCTTGTGCGTTTTAAAGTTGGATATGTTCGATGCTCGTTCGTAGATCAGGTGGTTCAGTCGATGTTATCCTTGTCCCCCTTTTGGATCGTGACATTACTTACTTTGGTTGATTGAGGTAATGTTAAAAAAGAAGACGCTTGCCATTCTGGAACATCTTGTCTGATTCTCCCGGTACTTTTACTGTTTAAGTGAAACTGTTTTTCATATTTTGCCCAAGTCTCATCAAATTTAAGCTATCATTACATTACTTACTTTAATTGACTAGGGTAATGTTGAAGAAGAAGACGCCTGTCCTTCTGGAACACCTGGTCTGATTCGCCTGGTACTTTTACCGTTTAAGTGATACTTTTGTTCATAGTTTGCCCTAGTTTCATCGAATTTGAGCTTAGGCTGAGATTCTGTTTACATGTCGATATTTTCTTCCTTTTCTTCTTCATATAATTCCGTCTCATTCTGTATGTTTCATTAATTAATAAACGCACCACGGCATGACTTTTTAACATACTTTTCATACACAGTGTATCATTGCATAGCGCTGCAGTGAGAAGTGTTATGTGAAATGTGATAAGGTTTTTATAGAAACATCTTATGATGGTAATAATTTTCTAGATTACAAATTGGTGGCTTTTAAGAGTAAATTATTAAACATTCGTCGGTTATTCACGAAGTAAACATTATATAGACTTAAATATTGTGTATTCATAAAAACGAAAGAAAAAAAAAACATGTCTTGTCTTTGTAAGGCCACGCAAATGTAATTCTAAACGTCCATTCCATTAGAAAAAATGTTTGGTAAATCAAGTTTGAAAAAAAACCGCTCGTTTAAGAAGTGCTTTGTTGATTATAATGAGGAAAAATACAGTAAACAATATTTCAAAATGCCCATTATCGAGTTGAGTGGATGAACCGTTAAAATTCTCCGAACACTGTACTGCTTTGCGTTTCTGTTTTGGTTTCGATATATTAAGACTCTTTCCATTTCTTTTAATTAATGGCCCTTTCTCTGCTTTAAACGTGGCATTGATCGTTGACTTATAGTCTCCACATTCTCCTGCCTTGGTTGGATACTGTAAGATTCATGTTGATTCTCAACAATTTTTCTAAAAGTGATGTATTTTTCTACAGATTTAACCTTGAAGGTTTAGACTATACCCTTTTCGCTGCCGTCAATCTCTCTGTTACGTCCAGTTTAGTGACGGAAGAATGTTAAGTTTCATTCCTTTAGTGTAAATGGGGCCTATTCAACATAACAGCCGGACGGACGTACAATGGACGGAAGAGATGTCGTTGTGGCTTCTAAACAACATGACATTTAGGGATACTTGTTACAAACCATCTACAAATCCACGTATTTGCATCCATTGTTTAAGTCAGGTGTAAACAACTCAATATTAAGATAACAGCAATACCATGATGTAAATTAACAAGAAAGAAGTGTTATTTTAAGACCCATAAATGGCATTGAACACGTGACCAGGTTAGCGTTAGTATTGTCATAGAAACCGCGACGATTCTCGGTCGAATGTCGGTAGTGCGTAATTTTCAAAATAAAATGATAATCTGCAAAGGCTACAACGCGTGTATGCAATGTAACTATAAGCATCAAACTTTCTTTACATGGCATTAATTGGAGTTATAAATGACAGAACTCTGGGGTCCAACATTGTAGTTACGCAATATATGTATTTACATATACACATATATGCTAAAAAACAGGCTTTAAATCATTTCATATGTTGCGTACCAGAGACCACCATTTATTAGTATAGATATTGCGGTTCGTTTACCATTTATTTTTTTATTGAAGAGTTGTCTCTCTTGGTCTGGAGATGTGACACTAACGCTGATTATGATGTCAGTACGATAGGGAAATAGTTTTTGGCCTAATAAATGTATTAATGAGAATTGAAAAGAAATCTATCAGGGAAAACAATTTGAAATAGAAAGTTTATCACACTTAAAAATCATTTTCTGTTGAACGTTTTAATGATTTTTAACTTTCGTTTGATTGATTTTTGTCGGTGCATTTTTATGTTGTCTCATACTTTGTTGACGATGTGAAATGTTTTTATGGCGTCGTTGTTACATAATTTGTCCTTGGGAATAACTGAGTCGTTGTTATCAATTATTTTCGAGTTATGATTCAGGGTGTCACTTGGCTATGAATCCAAATATTCTGACATAATTTATTGGCTGTGATTGTTACATGATATGAGCCATGGAAAGACATAGTCAAACACACTTTGATACAAGAGGGAAATATCTTTTAATCTTTCATTGATAACATTTCAATTTCTATGTAAATGCAGTGATATACAGAGAAAAAACACAACACATGCAATCCGCATCATATACGTATATAGCCAGTTGTAGCTTTGACATCGTCGAAATCTGAATGTCACAACCATGGTGTATACACATTTGGTTATAAAGCACCTTGTCGTGTTTTTTTTAAACTCTCAGTCAATTCTATGGTCTATATTTTAACAATGATACTGTAAAAGGGGAATTATTCGCTCTTGGAATTTTTAACTATAGACTTTTTCCGCCGAATGTAATATTCGTTCTAAAATGCTTAAAACTTACATTTCATTTGTAAAATCCAACTTAACCATACTTTTAACATTCAACTTACCTTCTTAATGGCGAAAGTTTTCTCCGTATTTATATTCCGAAAGGTGATCAAATGGAAACTGTTAAATATGTCTCTGTTCTTTACACTCTCTTGTTGCTAAATATGTCCCTGTTCTTCACTCTCTCTCCCCATTGTTCCTTAATATGTCCGTATTCTTTACTCTTTCTGTCGTTGGTTTCTAAATGTGTCCCTGTTCTTTACTCCCTCTGTCCCTTGTTGCTTAATGTGTCCCCTATTCTTTACTCCCTCTGTCCCTTGTTGCTTAATGTGTCCCCTATTCTTTACTCCCTCTGTCCCTTGTTGCTTAATGTGTCCCTGCTCTTTACTCCCTCTGTCCCTTGTTGCTTAATGTGTCCCCTATTCTTTACTCCCTCTGTCCCTTGTTGCTTAATGTGTCCCCTATTCTTTACTCCCTCTGTTTCTTATTGCTTAATGTGTCCCCTATTCTTTACTCCCTCTGTCCCTTGTTGCTTAATGTGTCCCTGCTCTTTACTCCCTCTGTCCCTTGTTGCTTAATGTGTCCCCTATTCTTTACTCCCTCTGTCCCTTGTTGCTTAATGTATCCCCTATTCTTTACTCCCTCTGTTTCTTATTGCTTAATGTGTCCCCTATTCTTTACTCCCTCTGTCCCTTGTTGCTTAATGTGTCCCTGCTCTTTACTCTCTCTTTCCCTTGTTGCTAAATGTTTCCCTATACTTTATTCCCTCTGTCCCTGCTTTCTAAATATGTCCTTGTTCTTTACTCCTTCTGTCCCTTGTTGCTAAATATATCCATGTTTTTTTTACTAATTCTCTCCCTTGTTGCTAAATATATCCCTGTTCTTCACTCATTCTATCCCCTGTTGTTAAATATGTCCTTGCTCTTTACTCTTTCTCTCCCTTGTTGCTAAATGTCCTTTACTTCCTCTGTCATTGGTGGCATATGTATATCCGATATATTTTATTATGAATCAGATTTACTCTGAATGCTGTTTATTTGGGAGATCGGTCAATCGCTAATTCGCAGAAAAAAACATAAATGACTTCATTTCACATTGCTCTTATAGTCACAAGAGTCATTTTAAACATAATTCTAAAACCTAATTTGAAAACAATGTTTCTTAGTTAAATTAGTTACACAACAGAACAATTTTTATCTTTAGAAAACATAATAAATTCAGGCAGATATATTTGCCAATAGATCGTTTTGCTTTCTTGCGGAAAAAATCGAAGGCATTGATAAAAAGTAACTTCTTTAGTATTCGATTCCATATTACAACTGGAATGACAGAAGCGGATTTCACATACACGTGACATGACATGTAAGCTAACCAATATTATGAAGTTAAAGTACACCCCGATATATTATTTTCCATATATACTTGTATGTATTTACGTAATACCATGTTAGACTCAACGTAATGGCATGAAATAGACTTGAAGATTTTCAAAAAAATATAAATATACGTATCCTTTTCACACTCTGGAACATGGCAGTACCTACTGGGATTGACCAAGATTTAAATAGTGGGTGTTGTCGATGAAGCAATAGACGCTTATCCTTTTTGGACACATGGTTTTATTATCATTGTTGATATTGCCATTTTGCCTTAGTTTCATCACATGTTGTTTTTTCTTAACTGACTATTTGTTATAGTCATTTCTTAAAATGATTATCTCTATTAGGGCAGGTTACATTTTACAAAAATATTACAAATTATATTGATTGTCACTTTAGAAATAATAAAGAAAGGTATCAGACCCCTACTTTACATAGTACTTGCTACAATGCAGTTGCCAATATTTATTGTTGTTAAATGATTTCAGAAGCTCAAAATTTAAGTAACCAGCTTGTGCATGTAGTAACAAGAGTAAATCCGTTACAAACACTAAAACGTTTTATCTGTTTTTCCGGATAGATTCGACCGATAGCAATATTTCAAAAATATATAGATATATTATTAAATCCTTGTGGAAAACAAATATCAACATAAATAAGAAATACGAACTGGTTTATCAAAGTATTGATTGAAGAATCGATAAAACCCTTCCACTGTCCTTTATCAATAATTGGACCATAACTATTGAATAGATGAGTGCGTCTTTATCAGCTTGTGACTGAAGTATTTGAATACAGATACTGAAACATATCAAGACGTTTGAGACAAAAGAAAAGAGAGAAAAATCGAAATTTTGAATCTTTCAGTTTCTTTTATTTGACGATCTTTTTGAAAATGCTCTCTGGATATATAAAGAAATCGACTTTTGGATATATATTAAAATATTTTCAATGATATACAGATAAATATTTAAATCCATATGCTCTTTAGTGTTGCTTTTCATGATAAATATACCAGTATTAATTCTACTGAAGAGACCTCAAACGAAAAAAAATGTATCGAACACAGATATATTTCACAAACTGACTGGATTAGAGAAGCGGCCATGTTTAAGCTCTATATAGTTTACCCACTTTGTTAAATTGCAGACCAACAGCTACAGCGATCGTCAGCACAATTTCTGGTCGTCCGTCATCATTACCGAGAAAACTGCGAAACCGTTGTATATGTCCTTTGCCTACCATGTTTCGCGGTAAGGAGAAGGTCAATCCGATTGGCAAATGTCATGATCTAAAACGTACCGTTCCCCATCATTCCAGTCCCTTTTTAAAACAATTTACGAGTTTTCCTCTTTCCTAGTCAAGACGGACGCTCCCTTCGCTAAACTGTGTTGAATTGTTACGTTGACTTCACAGGAGTGCATGGCCACCAGGTTACAATAAAAACTGTTAAGCCGGAGCTAGTACAATCAGAAAAACTCGATCTGTGAATTACTGTCAGTTACTGACACACACACACACACACACACACACACACACACATATATATGTATATTTTCGATTCACAATTTCATTTCGATAATAATAATGGTACAAATAAATGGAAAGAAAGTATTTTAACTATTATAATTTTATTCTTTCCGTTTTTTCCTTCTCTTTTCCCCCATTTTTATCAATCAGGTTGTCGAAAATAGGTATTTGGGTTCTTAGAAGCGATACATATAAAACCATTATGTCCAATAATGTTTTACTTATTTCAACAAAATTCTTACGTTCAGTTATGCAATCCAAAAAATAAATAGTGACAAAAAAGCTTAATAAAAAAAAATGATCTAAAATTTCACATGTTTATCTTTATAAATGTGTGATTACAATAATAATATACAAATGCTGATATCATATCGCAGAAACACCCGTATTCTTTTCATTTTTTTTTCATAGAGAATGTCAACATTACCGTCAATTTCAATATATAGGAGAATTCATATCGAATAAAAATAAATTAAAGCAAGTTTAAAGCTTAAACACGTCATGTATCAATACACCACGTGATTGATTTAGTGTCAGATTGGATTTGTGCGAATTAGAATATAATTCAAATGAATTCAGGTATTGATATTTATGTTTTAAGTTCACTTAATCTCGGCAACAGAAGGCTCCAGTATCTAAGCAGCCATAGGCGTGTTGTAATAGATCGTAACGAATATGTAGGATTATAATCTACAAAATATGGTGCTGAAATTTTATCTGAACCAACAAATACTGTTTGATGATTATTGTTGTTGATACACAACTTCAACTTACTATATTCTTAAAGATTTATACGAAAATAACTCACATGGACTTTCAGTTGTAAAATGCCGCTACATAATAATGGAATCTTATACTGCAGGTTTGTAAGATTCCCACTGGATGCATTCTGTTGTCTTCTTCTTTCTGTTCACACAGATGACATTTTCCTATTGTAAAATGGCGTTCATTTCATTTCAAAGAACTGCAAAGTAATAGAACATTATAACGATGGCAAGAATGACTTTTATACAAGAAAATAATTTACTAAACACTATCTGATGGATGACGTACATTAACATAATGAATTGTTGTTGTCATTTTTTATGTTGATTGTAAACATCATAAGTTGTTATTTGAAATAAACTGAAGATGACAACATAGAAATTGGCATGGGGGATAGCACGTTCATGTTAACGAAGTGTCAGGGGTCACAAGACTTTACGATATCACGTGGGGGATACCCGTCATCCCCAAAAATCCCTGCAGCACAATATCATATGAAAAGGTGAGGTTATCAGTTAGCTTGAGATCCTGAGTTTAAATGAATATATTCTTCGACCTGATTGGTAATCCAATCATGACGCCATAGAACGAAATGACATCATGTTCTAATGTATCTTGACGTCATCATGAGTATATGACGCCTTATTCAGTTTGAATGTTGGTTTCGCACTGTAGAATCGCATCACAATGCCTGTCTGTTCGTAAAAAGAATTCAGATAATAAGAGACAAGTCCTCCGCATTATCATTCGATTCAATTCGGAACATTCCTTTCATATATTTATCATTCGGGATTGTTCTGTCATAAAATATCACTTCGGGAGTTATCTCTCAGCGGGATCTTTCCCTGCGTCATAATACATGTCAACAATCACCGGTCACTACGGGAGGAATCATCAACCCATGGCTGAAGATTTTGAAGTGCGTGTAGGGAAGAATTGCTCATGCACAAGGGGTCTCGAATGTCATATATTGTCTTGTTGGCTTCCGCTTGCAGACTTATCATCAACCGATTGGCTGCCTGGCGCTCGGCTTCCCGCTCTTCAGCTGTCTGTCGTCTGCAAAACAGAAGCACAAAATTTTAATATGCTGTATTATAAAGAATACATACAGTTTCGTTGTCATATTAGTTTCTGTAAATTTGATTTGAGCGGTTGTTTTCCTAAATTGTACGCTTTGATGTATTATCAATGCGCCATTGCATAAATAACAGTGATGTATGGTAGATATAAAGTATTTTCAATGAAGAACTGCTAGTTTGCATACTTTGGAACATTGGATATAAATTGAAGAATATCTAGTTGTGCATGAAATTTAACCCCACAATTAATAAAAATTCATTTGAAACATAAAACAAATTTCAATTGATATGATGTAGTTGTTATCAGGGTTTCTATATAATTGTTGGCATGATATATCAAAAAGGAATAAAGGATATTTTCGACATTGCAGGCGAAGCAGGTAACTGATACATTCTGTGCTAATGAATGGATGTTGGAGTGAGTGAACTACGCTTCATATGTTTCATAGTGATACTGTACAGAATATACACATATACTTGATATTTTATATTTTTCAGTATTGAAATTAATATGAAATTTATTGATTTTTTATGGTTAGTACATATCGTATTTGGTCTATTTCGATCAATTTGGATTTTCCTGCCACATATATGTCTTATCAATTCAAACACTTGGCGTTTCTGACGTGTCCTAGAAGGACGAAAATGATGTATGGTGGCATCCAACTCCTTATTTGTCTATACTATCTAATTTTAAATTTGTATCTAAAAGTGCTATTCACTTGTGTATCTATTATACAGACTATTTTCACGTCTACTAAATTTAAATTCAATTCTTCTATTCCCAGAATCACTGACAAGACGTTCTGGGCACTAGCTAATATTTGTGTTACAACTGTGTCACCCAGTTGATTCATTAATCGACTTTAATGTAATTATTACACATATGTTATCTATGTGTGCCGATAGCATACGCGTACTAGCCTTACTTGTCTCCCCTTTAGACATTGTGACGTTTCTATCAACATTTGTAAACACTGAATAATTACACCTGTATTTGGATGTCATCTGATCGAAAACTGAACGGAATATCGTTACTTCAATGTATTCCCTTATCATGTAATGTGCAGTTATAGTTCAGGAAGACGTGGAGTGAGTTTGAAATAAGTGTCTACTATGTATGATTCCAATCTCCAGCTATAGACATACAGACCATGGCGTGTAGTACGAGAACCGCATGGTTACTCTTTGATTTGGACAAAGACAACACTATACTATATAATGGTAATTCAACAACCAGTTATTTACATTTGCTTTGAAATCGGCATTTTGACAGTAGTAATCGAAATCGGAACATAATGAAATTGATTCTCAGAAATTTGGAAAAAAGTTGGAGCAGAAAAGAAAAGTGATGCTGAACGGCGTCTATAAAATAGATTAATCTAAACTCTGAGAACAATAAAAAGCAAAATTTTAATCTTACAAAATAATTGAAAGCATCACTAGCGCATGAATAGTGTTTTTGTAATTGATGAAACTTTCACATTGTTCGACATATTGAGAACGATCAGCTCCTTGACCCGCATGCTATGTATATCGGTAACGTATGAGCACTGTACACTGATGTTCGTGTGAATAACGCAATGTGTTGATACCTACATCCATATTTATGTACCAACATGACCAGTTTTGATCAATAAGTCATACCTTGTTTATACATCTATTTTCCGTATTGTTGCAAAATCAAATTTCGTAATTTTTTAAACTTTATATTTTTGTGGGTCTTAAATGTCGCGATTTCCTTTTATTTTCCAAACTTCACTGACATCTGATATCACGATTACGAACTCAACAGAACTGACATTGATTGAGAGATGCAATTGTGTAACTGTTTAGAATTTCGTGGACTTATGAGTTCACACTTATACAACGAAAATATAACCTTAACAAATAATAACTATTTTCCAGTAACCATTCTAATAGAATTTTACGACAGGATATAGGCCAATACTATTGGTCAGTTGTATGTGTTCTCTGCTTGTTCATTTACATTGTAGATAATTTTAATCTATCATGATATTTATTTCCGAGCGTTTCAACGAAAATATAAAGTGACAATTATGTCATTTTCTGTACACAAGATGTTCAATATGTGATATAATCAAAATAAAGCTTTTACAGTGTATTAGACCCCAATCACCAGCATATAAACATTTGCCAAAGAAGCAGAAATATGTTGTATACATAATCATTTCATATGAGATATTTTTGCAACGAGTCTTTCAAACGATTTTTGTTTTGTGAGCCTTGTCGAGTAAAAAGTTTCAGCTTCGAGAAAAGTAGTTTAAGATACTTTTTATCACTCATTCTTATAATTAAGGATGGTTATCCTCCATTTGGTGATATAAAAGTTTTATCTGATAAAAGTATGCTACAAAAATAACATACAGATCAAATTTCGAAACCCATTTATTTAGAATATATTTTAGATTTTACACAAGAATATTTAAACAAAACGTCTGACTATGTTGTCAAGAATAAGCGTATGACTTGACAGTTTACCTCTCAGTAGGATCATCGAAGGATGTCTCCTGAAGGCTGAAGATGGTATTACTAGCACGTTTATCACTTTAAGCATTGCAATTGCAGTATTATAACGTTTACAGGAATCACTTGGTAGAGTTCCAGACATGTTTGGCACGTGTTAGTAGACAATTTAGTTCCAGTAAATCAATCTCTGTTATGAATCTGACATAACCTGTATTTGATATTTGCATAAGGAAACGTATGGTCTGACAAATAACAATGAAATTATGGAGTAATAGTGATGTAAATATGTAAACGAAATTTGATACGGTAGAATACCATGAAATTTTGTCACACAGACAGTATATATCTTTTCTATTTGGAACACCGCGACAACATCTTTGTTTCCTACATTTTATGGAAATATAATTTGATATCTCAAACTACTTTGATTAGGTATTGCCCTTTCATGTAGGTCACATGTTAATGTTACGTTCGATGTTTAATTTATAAAATTTTACCCCAAATAAAATTATCTCAGTTGCTGTCGTTGCCAAAATTTGAATTGATAATACGCTTGATTAACTGTATCGTATTCCCTGTGATATTAATTAAACATTTTCCCTCATCATTCTTACACAACAGGAGTATGGTTAAGATGGTTTATAATAAAATTAGCCAAAATGTAGTGTATTTTAATTGACAAATATTCAAATAGTTCACTTTTATAACTACAAATTTCCACATTGTTCTTGACACATGATAGGGAGGCTTGTAAATGTGAATTACTGACGATAATTAAGCCCTGCCAGACATTGAACCAATATGGCGTCACAGTAGGGGTCTCGAAACCTGACTAACACGAAACAATACGAAGACCGCTCTCACTTAAAAATAGATGAGCCGGAGCGTGCATTTAAACATCATGCATCCGTCGGAGACATTGTAAAGAAGAAAACGGATCCGTTGCTCGCAGCAGGGCTGTGAAAACACCAACGATATCCGGAGATAAGATACGGACTTGATTCTTCAAGTTAGATTGTACCGCAGAGGGGGTTAAGTACAGAGGTAATTTAAGCTCTTCTCAAATTTGGTATGATATCATCATGGGAAATTGGCCATTCCTTAATAAATTCTTTGGTTTTATTTGCATCTGCTATTTATACAACTCTAACATTCAATCTCCGATTACTCTGACCAGTGGTTATAACCGTGACAAATTGCTAATATTGCCCTCCAATGGTCAGTTCCATGCCGAATGCTTCCTTGACACGAATTGTAGACTACTCTCATTTGTTTTTACCCTCTTGTCTCAAGTCATTTGATCTATAGTTCTGTCCAAGTATATATGTCTTTAATCAGGGATACGCTTTAGGAATATAGCCGAAAACATCTAGCGCTGTCTTTGTCACGTGATTGTCATGGAATGAAGGTAAAATGGCATTGATATAAAAAAAAATCCTATCATGATGTCTAGGTCACAAAAAAGTAGAAACATTATCCTTCATGATTGTGAACAAAATGAATATAATGTGTTCTTTTAAGCCTCGATTCAAGACATTGTGAAGTTTTAGGACATTTTTATTATTTATTAAATGTATATTAATAGTTGCTACGATTATTACGCAGGTATACATTTCATATTTATTTTTTTCACTTAACGACATCAACTTCCAAATGTTATATTGACAAGGTACAGCAGTTATAAGGTGTTACTATTTTACAATAGTTCACGTATTCCATGAAATTACTTTCAATATTTTCAAAGATTGGTTTTGATCATCATAATGTTGTACCATTGATAGTGACATCACTTGAAAATTTGCTACTAGGAAAAATAGTATCTGTCGCACATACCCACTCTCAGAAACAGTATAGAAAGTCGATCAAATTTATTAACTGAGCAGTGTTTGGTATTAATATAAAGCAGTAATGTTCCATTGATCTCATCCGAACCTCCAATAATTAGTAAAAATCGAATAGTGCTTAATCATTGTTATGCTATACATCAACATAATAGTGCTGCTTTTCTACATAGCACAGGGAATAACGTTATGGTGTTACATAACACACTGGTTAGTGCTGTTGTTTCTCGTTCAATTGCTCATTTACGGATACTACTGTATCATTAGATATTTGACATCCGTTTTTCATGTATCTGCTGTCAATAAGGACACAATGGGACAAGCATAACATGTTTGTAGTGTTTGTAATTTAGATATACCATGAAAAATGTTACCCGTTTAAGTTTGAATTTATAAAATGAACGCTCCATCTTTGAAAATTATGAAAATGAACGACCTGCCTGCAAAGCTAATAACAATTCGTTTAGTGAAAAAATGAAGGAGTCAATAAACACTTTGTTCAGTTCTTTGTTTGTCTTCTATTTTTTTTATTTAAAAAAAACCCAAGTTCTTACCTCCATTTTGTTCGACGGTTTTGAAACCATGTTTTCACCTGAGCATCTGTCATCTTCAATGCCTTAGCTAAAGCAGACCTTTCAGCTGAAGCTAAGTATTTCTGTCTGTGGAAGCGTTTTTCGAGTTCCATAATTTGTAGTCTGGTAAAAGATGTCCTGGGCTTTTTCCGTTTTGGAGGTGTTCTGTTTTGGTATGGATGGCCTATTCGTCTTGTCACTGAACAATATACATAAACCAATTATTCATGATAGGAAATCAACAACCTATGATGACGTCATAACTATCAATGACTATTGCTATTTTCCAATGTAAAATACCCTCAGATTCACTGGTTCATTATGTATACCACAAAGTTGTTTGTCACAATACTGAAGTATAAAGTTTTAATTTTTTTTCGATATGATTCTTACTGTAACATTAAGTCTTAAGGAGGATTCACCCTACTTTGACATGACGATTTAGTTATCTTTGCTAACTTATTGTGACACGGAAGTTTGATTGTGAATGCTATACCCTAATCTATCTTTGAAACTTAATGATATATGCAACCTTACTGTAAAAATAAGAAATAAACTTTTGCGTTTACTTTACGTGGTATGGTCCAAGAAATATCACAACTTTACCGATGAAGGTCGAAACTGCATATCAAGTGCACTTGCAGTGCTTATTGAATTCAAATTATAATCCTTTTTGTCATGTTATATTTGAGATTCTAGACGATAAAACGTAATTACTTTTGCCAAGAGCAACTTTATTTCAAAACGAGCTATTTCTTCAGATAATTTGGTCTGTTTTATTACATGAAAGTACTGTAAAGTCATATATTTTCACGGGGTACGCTTTTCGTGATTTTTCAAAATATTGCTATTTTGTGGACACATGATTTTGTAGATATATGTAGATCAAAATATATATATTACACAACTTTCAATAGTTCATAGATATATCTATTCGATGATTGCAAGTACCCACAAAATCAATAAAAATTACAATTGAAAATCAATGATCTTACAGTGATTAATATTATCACTGAATTCACACGTCATTCTTACTTATTGGTACATGCATGTCTATTTATAAGATAAAACAAGAGTTTTCGTCTATATAAGATAAAAGTTTATATATAAGTTTAAAAGATTGAAAGACCGAGTTTAATGATTTTCACAAAATAGAAATGGATTCATTACATAACAGAGATGCTTTTGCAAATATCCGTATATTGGTATAAAATCTAAATTGGCGACATTGGCGAAATATTTTTCTTTTTCGATTTCATAACGACACGCCGCCATGAAATTATGACATCATAATAAAACAATGAGAGGTTTAAGAAAATCACGTTTACTCCACAAAGTCATATTGAACGCGAGTTTTTACAGACTTGTATGTAATGACTGTTATAACTCTGATAACAGTGTAGTGTTCGCCTATACATATCACGTACGATGACTTTCATAAGAGACTTTGTGGAGTTACTTTGTGTTTTAAATATAGTGCTTTACATGAGTAGCAATGTAATATATAATTAACTAAACGAATCAAATAATTTGATGATATTTCACAAGCCTGTAGGCGAAAGACGTATAAACTGATTTAAGATCAGCATGATTGTTAGACGATATTTTATCATATAGACAGTATTTCTGGCAAATAGGCGAACTTCAAATTAGTTCCTCTATAAAACGGGCTTATTCACGAATGACTATCATGTGACGTCAGCAACACGTGACTTAATTATGACGTCAACATGGTTTTAATGTTCTTGTGTCTTACGATATTTATGACATGGCCTTATGATATGACACATGTTAGATGGAGAAAAAAGTTAACAGCGGAGCAATATTATTTTCCTAACGTGTGTATTGCTTGTCAAATTGAGTATTTTCGAGAGCCAACTAATATGAAGAGGTTGTCGGGTATGTTGAATCCAGTATATATATATCTCCTTACTTCACTTACATTATTCCTACGTGCGTTTATGTGAAGGTGAGAACACTACATATTTTGAGACGTTAGGGTTTGAGCATGCCTTTTTTATTCTGTATCAACTACTTTTTGATGGAAATGTAGTTATAAAAAAAGAAATGTAACATAAATAATGTATTTAAAATTCTGGAAGGAATGTTTGACAGCTTGTTATGATACTGTTATCTTTGCACGGTGTAACTATTATAGCGAAAATAAAAGTTAGTTGCCTAATGAATTTACTCGGGTATCTAATTAAGTCTGGGAATTCTTTTTATATTTATTCATTTGTCTGCTTAATTATCTATTATTAATTTATCAATCGTCATTCTTATTTATAGGAAAAAGTGGATGCTTAATAGAATCCAAATCTGTCCCCTTTTACACTTGGTGTTAATTAGGCAATGAGAGTAATATGTACCACCACCAGGTTTTATCATTATCAATTTACAACAAAAGATAATATCAATTATAGAAATAAAGTATTAAAGGAACCATGTGGGAGCACTTAGTTTGCTTGTACTTTTGTCATTTCCTTAAACACATTATTAAATGTTCCCTATTTGTACCCAATTCAGTTTGTACACTGAATAGCACACGCGGACACAGTAACTAATGTGTTTGTAGCCCATGCCCTCCACAGGCTCTATCGATTATTACCTTTTCGACATCGTTTAACCTTTTTTTAAAAAAAAAACAAAACTGTTCTTGTCTACACCTATTAATTTACTTTTATCTAATTCCTTTTTCTCTTTTTGTAAAAATATTTTCATTGTCTGTGTTCAAATACTATATACTGCGGAAGCCACATACATCAATAAAAAATACAAAAAAGAAAGTAGAAAATGTAGCATTATATGCACAAAATGAAATAGGCAGACGCTGAAGGCAAATTTAATTTTAAATGGGACAAGCAGCAGGAAACCACCAAGATTTAATTATAACCCCTTCATCTCGTTGAGAAAGGCAGGAGCATCATGACTGCCGGAAATTTAGAGCGTTTTAATGCTTGTGATAGCTCTGAACCCGGTAGAACTATGATGTCTGAGAATAGTTTACTCTAATTGAAAGAATTGACTCGTCTTTAAAAACAGCATATGGGTTTGAACTCATAAAAGGTCATGACTTGGAAAAGTACAATGCTTTACTAATATTAGATTAAAATTGTCTCGATTTTCTTATGTCATTGTTGTTGTAATGTAATTGTTATTATTAGTTATCATTTAAGATATGTTTTATTGATATCTCATCAATTGTGTGTATTCATCCTGCAAGAGTAAGGTCAATTTATCACTTTATCCAGGTGAATGCGCGCTATCTTAATGCAACAAAAAGTATTTTAGCTAGTAAAGGCTGTAAAAGCTATTTGAAAATTTTGAATAGTGTATTATAAAACATTTCTTGCCAAGGCATAACGATTTATTACATATGTTTTCATATATATAACTAAAATGTTAACAAGGATAATATCAAACATTTCAAGTGATAAATATTTATTAATAGAGCGCCACAGGGCACACATGTTTGTGTATAACTGTTTTAGCAGATAACTTGTGGCGTCTGAAACAGATGACTACGCATGATATATGTATAGCGTTACGTATATTGTGTCCATCTTATCGACTGTCAGACACCCTATCGTGTAGTTCACAAAATTAAATACTCGTTTTCATCATCTCGCATAGCAACATAAGTACTATTGTTTCGGTATAAACTGCCCGACATTCGGACATACAGTACAATAAAAAGCGAGATGAAATGGTGATATATCCTAAATCAACGCGAATTATTTCTCTACCACTAAGAACTATCAGTATGTTGATATTTTCTTTAAAGTTAATCATTAGTTTGATAATACAAAGTTTATTGATCTAAAATAATGTTGTAATGTGCACTGAGGTAAAAATCATCTCCTTATGCAAAACATATTCCAACACAAAGCAACATAGGAACTATCAACTGTTCAGCAGAATCTAAATTCGAACTTAAATTCGGTGAGACTACAGCAAATATTAATGAAATAAAGATTTCCACAGCGACTATTGAAAAAGTTCAAGGAGAATAAGATATTATGTTCCAGAAGGGTAAGCATCTTCTGCTTCATCGACAACATCCGCCAAATAAAGCTTGTTCAAATCCATTCTGATGGAAATAATTATGCGATCATTCAAATACTAGTCTCAGTATTTATGAATAGCAGTATCATTCAAATACTAGCCTCAGTATTTATGAATAGCAGTATCAGTCAAATACTAGCCTCAGTATTTATGAATAGCAGTACGTTAATATAAATGTTGAACATGATAGCGTACAGGTAGATAGCCACACCAAGAAATTCTTCCTTTCACCCAATGGAAAAAGAAATCATTCTGTATTATTAAATGGACAGGGGAAACTGAAATACGCAAAAGAAATAAATACATTTATAAAAAATAAAAAAAAAAAATAAAATAAAATATGGAGCATTTATCAAATTGTATGGATAAAGAAAGCAAAATGGTCAAAATATGGAGGGAGATACATGATTAACTGTTTACACAACAATTAAACTTTCATATGATTGCATCCCTTCAAATTTTAAAAGGCTCATGTCTTTTATCGTTCCTTCTGTGTAATTCACTGCATTGTTGTTGTCGACTTTTCGTTTTATTCCACAGGAGCATTAAAACTTGTGCATATCTGTGGATTTGTGCAATGCGATCAGATTAAGAAATAGGCTATTCGAGACATTAGATACATTTCAAACACCAGACAAGACGCCTGATCATTATCTTATAAATAGACATTCGCTTTATTGGTTGAATATAAATCAGTTTTCTTATAAAACCTGTGGAGATAAATTAACCACGACTTATACTAAGAGTTTTAGCATTGACCTTCAATCCCTTTCCTTAAAAATTGCCATGTGACCTTGACATTGAACTGGAGCCATACACGGCTTTGGAGTTCACAAGTAGTTCTAGAATGAGTCCTTTGAATGAGTCTTTTAAGATGCATTAAATATTTATAATGATATATCAAATTGGATTAGAATACTTTTTAAATCGCCCTAGAAGGATTGTTTTGGCACTTTTAGCCCTGACTTTTGATCTGGTGACTAATAGAAATGCCACTTGTCTGCAGAATAGAATACGGGGTCTTACAGATTACATAAATATATTGATTGAAGGTTAAATACATCCCTTATATATGTAGTCAAAAAATTGTTGGTACCTGGTAACTATGGAATTAAGCTTTTTAAAGTCGTACAT